AAATTTATAAGCGTCAAGTTTGACAATTCAACCTCAATACGTTTCCATAGTAACCCAAGTAATTTTATTAGGAATTTCAAAGCACCATTTATTTGGGAATAAAATTATCGCGTTTTTTTTTAAATCAATCAATACCTGTCGAATTTTAAACGATTTGCGGAAAAATAGTATGTTTACCTCGTAGGAAAAGCCACATTCCTGGACTCTGTGTTGCTAAGTCTCGGCTTGCGCCTCGACTTAGCAATCTTCACAGTCGTCCAGGAATGTTAAGCTTTTCCTACCCGGTAAACAATGTACTATTTTTGTGTGGCAGTGAATCTGAGTCCAGTTCAAACCCCAGAAATTTTAAAGGAGAAAAAATAACATTTAGTGAAATTCAAAAAGAAAGAGCCTTTCTTTCATCCAGCAGAAAGATTCTTCTAAGTGGAGTCCTTATTTTAAATAGCTTAAAAACCTTCTTGTATTGTATTTGTCCAGATTCATGTAAGTACCCCTTTTTATTTCATTTTTGTAGTAACCCCATTCAGTTTCCCTGTTTCATTTACTTATCTACGGCCCAGTTTTCCAACAATAAATAGTAGCCCCAATAAAAACTCATATAAAAATCCAGAAGCTCTTTCAACAACCTTAGAGAGATTCTCTGCAACTTATCTTTAAGTATCAATATACACACAGGAATTCTTAGATGTTACATCTTTATTATCCTACTCTATGGAGTAGAAATCTGGAGCCATACAGAAGATGTCATAAAACGATTAAAGGCATTTGAAATGTGGTGCTACCGACGTATGTTGACGGTCTCCTACATTCACCAAACAAGTAACATAACTATTCTCCAGAGGCTAAGAAAAAACAAAAAAATTATTAACAATATAAAAAACAGAAAATTGGCTTACTTCGGCCACATCATGGCGTAATGATAAATACCGACTTCTACAGTTGATTCTATGGGGCAAGATTGAGGGTAAGAGGCCCTGAACGTATATCCTGGCTAGCCAATCTCAGGAAGTGGACTGGTCTAACGTTAACTGATCTATTTCGAGCTATTGTGAATACAATAAGATGGGGCAAAGTGGTAGCCAATATCTCTAGAAGATAGACATATTTAGAATAAGATGATTATATGATTCACTAACAACCAAAAAGCATTTGATTGTGTAAGTTGGATAAATATGTGGTCTATTTTAATAGAAATGGGCACACCAAAGCACCTGGTGACACTTATTAAAAATCTGTACCAGTCCGATATAGCAACAGTACCACTAGATCAGAAGTTTTCAAACCAATTCAAAACCGAGAGAGGTATTAGACAAGGATGCATGTTATCACCTGACTTATTCAACATTTATGGTGAACATGTCATGAGGATGGCTTTAGATGGATCGACCGGTTGAGTAACAGTAGCTGGTAGGAAAATCTCCAATTTAAGATTTGCTGATGGCACTACACTTATAACGGCAAATGAGTAAAAAATGTTTAATCTCCTGCGAAGAGCTGACTACGGAAGCAATGAAGTTTGGATGAAAATCAATAAAGCTAAGACAAAAATATTGGTGGTCGACAGATTCCACACAAGTCAACTGACTAACATATTACATGAATACCAGATAGTGGACAATTTTGTCTATCTCGATTCTCTATAACTAATGATAGTAACTGTGAAGCAGAAGTTTGGAGATGTATTGATATGGCAAAAAATGCAATAAGATGCCTAACTAATTTCGTGACCTCTGTGGTTTTCTTGACCATCGACCGCAGAGGTAACGATGGTTTAGAAAGATTAATTGTTTTTGGAAACGGTGTGGGGAGAAGATCAATAGAACGATCACCAACTAGATGGTGATAAATTAAGAATTCAGCTGAAAACTCATTCTACGAAACTCTCTACGAAACAGCTGAAGATAGAGACCAATGGGGAAATTTTTTTAGGAATATTAGAAGAAATCACGATCCTCAGTAATATGGAAATGACAAGAGAGACAGAGAGAGAGGGAGAAAGAGATTTTTTTTATCCTTCCCAAAACTTCACTGTTAGTTCAAGGGAACTAGATGGCACATGTTCTCATAGTTTATCATTAAATCCGTCCGTAGATGCCTGATGATGTTTAGGCTTTTTAGCAAGTTGGATTTTTACGTACAGCAGGGTGAGGACGTACTGCTAGGACCCTCCTCCTTTATCGAAGCTTGGTATCGGCAACAGTGCCATCTAGCTACTCAATCTATCCGATGATACCACAGACAGAGTTTAAATGGAGCAATTCTTAAAATTGAAATAAATTTGAATACTGACAACTGTCATAACATTAATATCACTAAATTATACTACATTCACCCGACCATTCTGAGTTTAATTTTTACACTGACTGGACAAGAGGTAATTACTTGATTAATTTCATCTAAAGAACAAGGTAAATTTCGAATTTTTATAAAATGGTACATGCGAGTAATCCCAGGATGTGATCAATCTGAATGTAATTAATATAACTTGTTTGTATTAATTATATTATTGATAGGGCACCAGCTCCATCATTAGCCTTTCATGGACGATAAATAATATCATATTTAAAACAAGAAAGCTCCAAATGCCAACCCATATTTTTTTCATTTTTGATTTTACTTGTATGGTTTAAACTAATTGATGGATTCGACCGTTACTTGATAGAAATTCATTTTATGTAACAATAAAACACTTAAAACTTTGTTTTCAAACTTCCACAAATATTTATTTTAACTCTTATCACTACAGCTGTTTCGGCTGATTGCCTTTCTCAAGTGATCTTGATCACTATCATATATAAGGTTGTAAGGTTCTATATAAGGTTGTTTTTAATTTTCTCCTAGCTCGCGTTTATATCTTCGATGTCATATATTTGTTTCATCTGTATCTTCTTTATTTTCCTTTCTATTATTTTTCTCAGTACAAAAGTATTATTAGTGATCTGTCTCTGTTAATTTCAAGTTTAAATTTAATTTGATTTTGTTATTGATCTACTATTAATCTGTTTATAGTGTACTATATATGCACCTTTTACAAATAATCGTTTCCAGAAAGTTTATATATATATATATATATATATATATATATATATATATATATATATATATATATATATATATATATATATATATATATGTTAGTTTTGATATTTCCGCGGGAGCTGTATGTTATATCAATGGTATTCCGGGTTTGACTCCGCGTTAAATGTTGTTGGTTTTGATAAAAACCATTTTGACGACGTTTCGGCAAGATCTCACTTGCCATTTTCAAGTCTCTCTGGATGGTCTGCTTCTTGTCGATGTTCGAGTGGAAGTGACGCTACGGGTGTTAGGCAGCTGGCTTTTGTAGTTACTGTGCGTTGCGCGCGCTCTTGTAATTGGTCCAGTGCGCAGGTCAGTGGGCGGGGTCTTGGTCGATTCCGTTCTTGCGTTATTCTTCGGGATAATTGGTTTCCATGTTTTTGGCAATCTTTGGGCATCGTCTCGAGAATTTAAATTATTTTCTTGTTTTTCTATTTCAATGGCTTCTCTGATAATTCGTTTCCTCTTGTTTTCGACATTCGCTAACATTACCGTATGTTTGAGGTCAATTTTGTGTCCTGTAGCTAAAGAATGCTGGGCTAGGGATGACGTCGTTTCTTTTCGTTCGATGGCATTGCGATGTTCTTCTTGTCTTACTTGGATCCTTCTATTTGTCTGTCCAATATAGGCTCTATCGCATTCTCCACAGGGAATTTTGTATACTCCTTGGTTTTCTAGGGGAATCTTTGTCTTGGCAGATGGTAATATGTTTGCGATTTTTCTGTCGGTGTTAAAGACAGTCTCTATTTTGTGTTTTCTCAGGACCCTGCTTATCTTCTCTGTTGTGCCTTTAATATACGGTAGAGTGGTTTTGGCAATCGGTTTTTCGTCTTCTTTTATTTCTTTTGTTGTTTTTTGTGGTCTTCGTGCCTTTTCGATTCTGTGTGTGGAAAAGCCGTTGTTTTTTAACGCTTTTGTAACTTTCTGCATTTCTTCTTTCTTGTGTTCTTCGTCTGTTAGTCGTTCAGATCTTATAGTCAGAGTTTTTATGACTGAATTCAATTGTGCAGGATGGTGGTGTGAATCTGCATGTAGGTATCTGTCAGTGTGAGTTGGTTTTCGATACACTGTATATCCAATGTTGCCGTTTTCTTTCTTTATTATTAAGACGTCTAGGAAAGGTAGTTGTTGATTACTTTCTAATTTCATCGTAAACTTGATCTTGGGATGGATACTGTTAATGTATTCTAGAAATGCAGTAAGTTTGTCTACTCCATGTGTCCATATGATGAAAGTGTCGTCTACATATCTAAGCCATAGTTTGGGTTTATATTCTGCTGTTCTTATTGCCCGTTCCTCTATGTCTTGCATAAAAAGATTTGCTATCACGGGAGATAGCGGTGAACCCATCGGTGCCCCTTCAACTTGTTTGTACCGTTGATCACCATATATAAAATATGTGTTGTTTATATATATATATATATATATATATATATATATATATATATACGGTTTTAAAATCAGTATATTCATGTCATCAGCAAAGTTTACAAAACGTTCATCGATTTCCTAACATCATGTTCCCTTTTAGAAAAAAGAGGTTAAAACCATTTCAAAGAAAAATAATGGCATAGAAAACAGTATGTATTATCTTTACATTGATCTGTTTTAGATGCGCCAATTTTTTAAGATCCGCATCTATATATAAACTTTTAGGGAAATTCGTTTCCTTACGTTCAATCCAGGCTGAAAATCGAGTGAAAAACTATTTTTCCGCGGAAAATCCATGGAGCCAGATTTTATACCTTAGTGGCGTCAACAGTCAATGTATTTATCTAATAATCCTATTAGTGGATTTATATCCATGTCACATTAATCGACATTTTATTCGAAAACACAATTAAATTGAATTTGCCACCCCCGTGGCGGACGTAAAAGGCCGCCCCTTGCGCCGACTCGATGCCTACTGTAGATCAATAGTCAGGGGTGAAAATAAACATGGCTGATACGGAGTTCGAGGAATTTAGGCATAGTTTTGAGAAATTACCATCGCACACAAAAACAACTGCACCCTTTTATTCGTAAGTACGAAATCTTCTGATCTTATTTTATTGTTTGTTCTATGTCTATCTAAGATTTTTGACTCTATGTGTACAGTCTGCATACTTGCGTAGTGTGTGATGCTGCGGATAGCTTAATTATACAATACATTCACATGTTTTATTATTTACTTATGTTTAAATCACTGTAATAACATTGTTTTTTGCCTAGTTCTCCCATATATTCTCCAGAAATTACTGAATGTTTTTTATAACATATATAGTATCAACTATTTTCTTTTAATTACAATAAACAATTACAGGAAATTTAATTACAATTCTTTATTAGAATTAATATCAGTAAGAACACATTTGTTTTTTTTCTATATAAGGCAGTATTTTTAGATGTCTTGTGTCTGGATCTGTGATCGATTTCTGCATCACCTGTCTGTGTTTTCCAAGACGTTGCAACCTATAGTTTCCTTATTGCTCACTTAAAATATTTTACTGTTTTAGATAGAATAAAAAAAAGACCATTTTTATAAAATTTATTTGCTGATATTTAAAAAAAATAGATGCTTGTAGTGCACATTTTAAAGACCTTGATTGGAATCGTAAACTTTTTCACAGAACCATCTGAGAGTACTTTTATGTTTATCCTACAATGGGTGGAATGTATAAAACGTAGTATCTGCTAATGCTTCAAGTAATTCTACATTTTTGTAGTACTTGCTACACTTACAAAGCATTTTGCTTTCCTCCGTAGTATTTACTACTATTTACCAGATACATAGAAGGATTTACTACGCTTTTGAAGTATTTGCTAGTTTAGTAGAATTTGCTTCAGTTTAGGTGAAGTTGGTAGATAAACAACTTCGGCTTAGGTGTTTTTTGTTATGTTTGTTAAATGGCAGCATTTATGAATGTTCGTCGTAGAATAATCTAGAAACCAGGAAGAATATACAATGACGATATTTATCGTAAAATATTCAGGTAATTATCATGAATCGTGCAGTTTTATTCATACAGTGCGCTGAAATAAGAGTAACCTCCCATATTAACTCATTCATTTTTAGTATATAAGCAAAACACTCGAAGAGGTCGATTTTTAAAATAATCATAGTATATTATAGCATCAATGTTTCGAACTTTAAGCAATCTTTCTTCAGGTGACAGTCATAACTTTGATTTTTTAAATGGGAAAGTAGGAGAGTAGGGGGTGGGTAAGATTTATTTTAGCTTACTGCATATGTATATATATTTAGGTATTAATATAAAATTTTTATAAAAAGTTGAAAAATCACATGAAAAACTAGTCCTAATACGATTGGTGTGATGCGCACAAGGGCACTACGGCTGGCGTTACGTTTAGTAGTAGAACCTTCAGGTCAGTAGCAAGTACTTCGGTTGTGTAGTACGGTCTTTTCAACAAAGCACCTCCTTTTATGTTAAAGTAAATGCTACAGACCAGATACTATTTGCTAAAGCAATAGCATCTACTATTTTTTTATGCATTTCACCCATAGAGTTTGTATTTAAAAAATGCGAGACTGCTAAGAAAGTTTATTACCATTTTCGGATCTACAATTCTTACCTGATCAATTTGTAATAAGTCCTCTGCCAGGAATATGAAATTTGGCAAATAGTAACCCCGCAATTGCAGAGATTCCGCATCTAGCTGTTTTTATTTTACCTTCTTCTTCTTACTACTTGTATGTAGGCTTTAAAGCCTGTTTCTTCTTCAATATAAGCCTCCTAAATTATTTAAATTATCGCACTATCTTTTTCTTGGTCTGCCAATCTTCGTCCATTTGGTGATCTCGTGATATGTCGAGTTAATAGGTACTTAAGTAATATGTTTATTTTAAAAATCCCTTGTAAATCAGCGTATCGAATCTCCGGCTAAGGGCTGGTGAATGCACTTAATTTTAATGACTTTCGTCTGAGAATGTAGGGTATCGAATATCATATAGTATAAGAGTATATTCAATTTGTTTAGAGTTAGATTTAGTCGAATTTATACCACCGACCGAAGGAAACTGAATAAAACTTTTAAAGTCACATTTGTGTATTTTAATACGAAAGTAATTTTTGTTATAGAAATTTAATTTTGTATTTTTTCGAACCAGGAGTCTCTTGCGATAATTAATCGTAGGACATTCCAAACGTAACATGCTATTCGTACTGTCCTATCATCTGCCATTCTACTAATGTGTTGTGTTCGTATAACTCCTGTTTCCGTTTTCTCATCCATCCAGTTATGTCTTCTATATTGCATGCTCTTCTTATGTTTTTGCTTTTTTGATCGTCGAAGTATTTTCATCTCTGTTGTTTCTAGTAATCGTTGTCTCGTTTTAGATGTGTCAGGTCTTGTCTCCGACGTGTATGTTAATATAGGTCTAATTGGTGCTTTATAGATTCTTGTTTTTGTGTCTTGTCTTAGGTGTTTGTTCTTCCAGATTGTGTCATTAAGAGATCCCGCAGCTTTACTTGCTTTTAAGCTTTGTTGTCGTACTTCTTCGTCAACATCTCCGTAACTAGTTATAACTTTTCCCAGATATCTAAACCTTGTTTCTTGCTTTATTATTTTATCATTAATTTCAATTTTATATCGTAGTTGGTATTTAGATGTTGTCACACATTTGGGTTTTTTTCGCTGATAATTTCATATTGTATTTCTTGACTATTGTATTGAAGATTGTGTTAATCTTTAGAGCTCGTCTTCTGTCTCGGCGATTAATGCAACGTCGTCTACATAACATAATATTTAGATTTCTTTGTTCCTTATTGTGTAACCATGATCTTTATGTACTTATACTTATTTTGTCTAATATTATATTAAAGAAAAGTGGGCTTAACAAGATACCCTGTCTGACTCCGCTTTGTACTGGTATACACTGTGTTAGTTTTCCATTTATCTTTGCCTGTATTCGATTATGTAGGTAGATGTTTTCGATGGTTTGTATAATATTGATTGGTATGTTTCTTTTATACAGTAGCTGTAAGACGTCTTCGACTTGGATGCGATCGAAAGCCTTTGTCAGGTCTATAAAACATAGATATGCTGGTTTATTGTATTCGATGGCCTTTTCTGTGATTTGTCTTAGTACAAATATGGCGTCCACGCAGGATCTTCCGGATCTGAATCCTTGTTGTTCATCTGATAAAGTTATTAGTTTATTGATTTTGTTGGTTAGGACTTTTGTGGTAAGCGTAAGTGCGGTGTTCAGTAGATTTATACCTCTATAATTGTTGGGTCTTCTTTATCTCCTTTCTTGAACATTGGTATCATTATGCTGTTTCTCCATGCGTCTGGTATCTTACAGTGCAATATTAGTTTTGTATAAGTTTTGTCATCTCTAGCGTTATACTTTCTCCGTGTTATAGAATCTTGTTGGTTAGTCCGTCTGGTCCTGGTGAGTTTCTATTTTTGAGTGAATTTATGGCTCCCTCTACTTCCTGAAAACTGATTTTTAAGACTAAACAATACATTATTGTGTTGAATATTATTTTCCTTTCCTTTAAACAGGTCTGGTATCTTTCCCATTCAGTTGCTGATATGTTATTGTATTTATTCAATTCTGCCATTTTTTCCGTTGATTTCTTATGAATCTCCATATTTATTTTTGTGTACCGTAGAAGTCGCTTTCCATTCTTTTTGTAAACTGTTCCCAGTATTCATTTTTTGTTCTTCTTATCATGTGCTTTGTTTCATTTCGTATTCTTCTATAAGTGTCTCGGGATTCTAGAGTATTGGATGCTTTGTACTTCGTGAAGGCCTCACGTTTCTCTTTACATTTCTCTTCTATTTCTTTCCTGAACCATGGTGTATTGTTGTTTTTTCTTTTGTTGTAATCTTGTTTTTAATTTTCTTCCAGTCCGCTTTTATATCTTCGATCTCATCTATTTGTTTCAGCTGTATCTGCTGTGCTAACCTCCTTTGGTACATTTCTCTTATAGAGTCGTTCCACAATAATTCTAGATTAAATTTTTCTTCGGTAATTTCCCGTAGAAAATGTTTTGGTGTTATTTTCATTCTTATTTTTAATAGTACTAGTCTGTGCTTACCAATTTATTTACCAATTTACAGAATATTTAACTAAGAAATCTTCGCCTTCTTGATCCTCATTTTCCTTCTACTTTTCCTTGTAGAATTAATTGAGTGGGAAATACCCATTAAAATCATCTGTTATTTTATTCTTGTTATTATACCTTGGCTTATGTCAATGTTACATAGCCAGAAATGTTGTTTTCCTGCTGTTGTTGTAGCTTCTATACTTTTCCTTGCAAAAATAGTTTGAGAATAGTATTGGCTTCCTCTAAGGATAAGGCCAAGATACAAAATTTTTTTTTCAATAACGATGTTGAGCAATTCTCGTTAGGGGCATGCAATTCTTAAAATTTATTTATTCGTGGCATGTACGATCTCCATCCTTAGTTCTCTACGAAAAGTAATGATCATAGAATATAACTAAGAAACGAACAGGGTTCATACTTACAAAACAATATGTAGGTTTTTATGATCTTATGAGAACTCTACGATAACAATAAAACTTAAAAAACTAAACGAGAAAAAAAAACAAAAAACACAAGAAAAATTGTATGCGAGCACCATTATTCATTTATTTGAAATGCAGGGAGGTACGATTATCGAGGAAATTGCTAAAAGAAAAAAAAGTTTTTTTGAAAAGGATTTTAAAAAAATTTATATATTATATTCAATGGAGAAAGGACCAATTTAGAATATTACTTAAAAAAAAGGAGAATAGGGATGTGAAGTTCTTATTTATCCTGTATGGGATTTTATTATTTGTTCTGTATAATGTGAGAGTGATAATTTTTTCTAAAGGGGCCAATGGAGTTTGTGTCTTCGAAAATAACTTTCCTACGGTGCTGGTGTTTTATAAGGCTATTTTAACAGGTAAATTTTTGGAAAGTCATAAGGTTGTTCGTGATTTGTGGGAAGTATGGGAGCAAAGCATATTTTGTGGTTTGTTCATGGATAAGTGAGGAATTATTCATCTGTATTTTATTAGAAATGGACGCTAATGTTAGCCTGTTGGGTGTTTCACTAGAAAATGATCATGATCGATTCTAGAAGATATCTTAACCTCTTGAATTACAAGTGTACTTGCGTATATTTCCTCAGAAAAATATGTCATTCCCTTAAATTTCGCAACCAGGAAATCCTCCTACGTCCCTCATTTCTCTATTCCGGGATTTTTCCTTGGATTATGAGTCTAAGCAGAGAGTACTTTTCTCCTCTCATTATGTGGTCCAGATATTCCAGTTTTTTCGTTTGTATGGTTTTTATGACTTCGCATTCCTTCCCCATCTTTAGCAGAACATCTTGATTTGTTACTCTTTCTGTCTATGATATTTTCCACATTCTCCTATAACAAAACATCTCGAATGCCTCAATGTTTTTGATGTTTATCTTTTTCAGTGTCCAGGCTTCCATGCCGTACAGTAGAACTGAGAAAACATTGCACCTTAACATTCTCGTTCTTAAGTTTATGATTGTGTCCCGGCTGCATAGGAACTTTTTCATTTTGACAAACGATTGTCTCGCTATCTGAAATTTTACCTTATTATATATGTGTATGTACTTTCTTTTAGCCTCGTTCATGATGTCGCTGTCGACGAAGACTCGCCTACGTCTTCCAAGAGTGACCTAGACAATTACTGTGATATCAACGGAGATGGTTTGGACAGCAACACCAGCGAACCTCTTTCGTTCGGTAGTAAAAAAGACAGTGCAATCACAGTCGGCGCATCTACGTCGATACCTTGGTGTGGCGAAAGGAGACGTAGAAAACTTCCTGAGATTCCTAAAAATAAAAAATGTAAGTTTTTACAAACATATCGATATCTATAGAATTGATTACCTACGGTCCACAATGACCGAAATTCCAGTACTCATTTTGATCAAAACTCCATTTTCAATCAATAATATTGGTTTTTACTAGAGTAATAATGCTGAAACATACGTTTTCTTGAATATAAATCAATATTATGATCAAATCGATACCCAGCATTTTGATTTTGGTATTTTGTTCCAGCTGCTGTAGTTACAATGTACAACGCTCAATTACAGTTATCCAGAGAAATGTCTCTGGCTGACGAACTAGGAAGTAGCAACAGTGGACCAAGCTCAATCCTAGTATTAAAATGCGGCTATCTATGGGACGACTCGCCGGAATCTGATAGGTAAGACTTTCAATAATTCATCAAGAATACAGATTGAACGAAATAAATTCGGAACATACGAAATATTATGTATTTCGGCTCAATTCTGCTGTAGGTGGTTGACCAACAAAAGGTTGTCAAATAATTATATTATAAAAATCCAATACTTCAGCGGGCTGCTGGATTCTGAAATCATAAAAATTGAAAGCTACACATAAATCTACGATTTTATTATGCTGTCAAACCACTTATAGTCCAGGAAATGAAGCATTTCACCTCGCAATTTTTTCGTCCTGCGTGGATTGACTTGAAATTTTAACAGAAGGTAGGTAATAGCCAAGGATCAAAATCTATATCGAACCAAAGTGCGCCAAAGCCTTAGGGGTGGTTGCCACCCCATCTCGGGGTGAAATTTTTTTTTACGTTTTAACTACAGGTTTCGATTAAAAAAGTGATTCTAAACAAAAAATGTTCTATACATTTTTTTTGTAAAACTGATATTTTTCAAGTTATTCGCGATTGAAAGTAACAACTTTTAGACGAAAAAATCGACGTTTTTAATCGATTTTTCGCGAATAACTCGAAAATGGTGCATTTTATCAAAAAAATTGTAGAGAACAAATTTGTAGCTTTTAAAAAGACAAATACAATTCATTTTTTAAAATGTTTTTGCGATATAACAGGAACCGAAATACGGCCTATCAATGTTCAGCGGTTTTCTTCAAATGCCAAATTTGAAAGATTCAAAGTCAAATATCGGGAAAATGATGCATTTTTGAAGAAAACTCACAGAACCTTTTTTTAAAGAGCATAAATAGACCTATCATAAAAAAAGACTCTAGCTCAAAAATTGAGTGAGTTATGATAAAAATAAGGTCAATACCTCATTTTTTTACGAAAAAATCGATGAAAACAACCCCCTAACCACCCCATAATTAAAATCGATCTTCACCCTTCTGCAATTCTCTTTGTACATGTATTGTTAATACGTCCAAGAAGTTTGACCCATTTAAAATGCTTAGTTTTAGAAAAAGTACAGCATAAAGCGAGAAACGATTTACAATTTCATATTTTTTACCCTTCTTTTTTTAAATATCCCCGAAAATACTGAATATATGAAAAAAATAAAAATGTACTAAATTGTAGCTTTTTTAATGACTAAAATTTTCCTTTATTTAGATTTGTTGTACAATGAATATTTGGCGAGATATAGCCGTTTAAAGCATCGATTTACGATCAAGCACCATCTTTTTCGAGCCCTTTAAACTCACCCCATTTAAAAACCAAGGGTTCCAAAAAGATTTAATTCACAGATCCTTGTAGCTCTTAAAAACCTCTACAAAACCGTTTTTGAAGAAACACTCTATCGTTAAAAATGAAGGAAATACGTTAAAAAAAGCAATTAATTTTTTTTCCGGAAAATTCCATTAGTATAGTACAGTACATTTCGGAGCATAATAATCTACAAAACCGGTATATTAGGTAGTGGGGCGTTATACATTCGAAATTTTAAGCGTTCTTATTTTGAAATCCCATACAACAGAATAAAACATCTGCTCATATGTCTATGGCTTGGCAATGAAAATATCAGAGCAACAGATTGGGGATGGTATTCCAAAGATGGTTTGTTATTACCCGTACGCATGAACAAACAACCTGCACCCGATGAACTTTTGTTGTTGTTGTTATAAATGTAAATATTTTCAACTATTTATGTAAATGTATAAGAATATATGGTGCCTTTTTATGTTGATAAATTTTTTTGTATTTAATTCTACTTTTTTCAATTTATATCTATTAAATTAGTTTATAAAAACTGCAATGTTATAAAGGGTGATATTCAAAAGTTGAAAGTTGCAAAATTTTGGCAAAAAATTGTTTTCACCTATAGCACTCATAACAATTGATTTTTAAGGGTTGAAAATGTATGAAATTGTATTTTAAAGTATAAAAAAAATCACTATTTAACTAATCCAAACCAAATTTCACTCATCTTAAGATTTGTAATGTTATTTTACAATTTTTGAAAATTAGGGGTAGTTTTCACCCCTAAGAACAATCAGGGTTCATCGGCATGACATAAACTATAAAGCAGAGGGTGAGTTGAGCTTAATTCCAAATTTTTATCCAAATCGTTCTAAGGCGAAATCATTTTCTTCGCATTACTACTTTTTTTTACATTAATCTCTAACAAGGGTCGCTTTTTAAGGGTTGAAATATGATGGAACTTTATTCAAAAGCACGAAACTATCATTATTTAATTAATTCAAACCAAATTTTACCCATATTCAGGTTTAATATGTTATTTTATAATTTTTGACAACTAGGGGTAGTTTTCACCCCTAAGAACAATCAGGGTTCGTCGACATGACATAAACTATAAAGCAGTGGGTGAATTGAGCTTAAATCCAAATTTTTATCCAAATCGATCCAAAGCGAAATCATTTTTTAGAATTAGTAATTTTTTACATTAATCTCTAACAAGGGTTGCTTTTTAAGGGTTGAAATATGATGGAACTCTATTCAAAAGTATAAAATAATCATTATTTAACTAATTCAAACCAAATCTTAGTCATATTCAGGTTTAATATGTTATTTTATAATTTTTGACAATTAGGGGTAGTTTTCACCCCTAAAACCCTTCAGCGCACTTCGGTTCGATATAGATTTTGATCCTTGGGCTATCACCTACCTTCTGTTAAAATTTCAACTCAATGCATGCAGGACGAAAAAATTGCGAAGTTTTAACTTTTTTCGAGCTTCATTTCCTGAACTATTATCGCTTCCTTTACGTAAACAACATTGTAACATTGTTGCGAGACACTATTTCAAATGCAGTTCAAACAGACATATATTAAATTGTATGATCCGTTTTAAATTCGTTCAATCTGTATTTTCTTTACTATCTTTATCTATACAACAGGTAATCTTTAATAAAATATCGTTTATGTGTGTCGCTAAAATAGAAAAATACTGTTTTCAGACTTTTAACTGACGCCGACAGCGGTCACAGTACAGCACATTCACCGACAGGGACGGACGGACCTAAATCGATGTCTCCAATTTTGGGTATTTCCCCTTCTGTCATTGGAGGCGTTGTTTATAACGACGTAGACATGCTAGAAGCCACACATAGAGCACTTCATAAATTTATTCCAAGACACGAAGATGAAATAGAAATTGAAATCGGCGATCCAATCTACGTACAAAAGGAAGCTGACGATCTTTGGTGTGAAGGTAATTTGTTATTAAAGTTGTTTTTAATCATTTAGTTAATCATTTTTTTTTTAATATTTAACTTGTTGCTGGAGCTTGTTACAATCGAACTCGACAAAATAAGTATTTTTTTTTTTTTTTTTGATAAATGAAAGGCAGATATCGAGCACTGTATTAATACCTAATTCTTGCCCAAGTACTGTCGCTTCCGCCTTACTTTGGGCAAGATTTAATTAATAATACAGTGTTCGATTCAACCTTATATCTATCTATTTGTTGTCTATCCACATTTTTCTAGTTTCGTACTCCCAACATTTTCAAGTCTTCCTCTATCTGATCCTTAAATCGTGATCTGGGTCTGCATCTTCTTCTAACTCCATCTATTCTTTGGTTCTAAATATGTTTTGGCTGCTCCATCTCATTCATTTACTCTATGTGACCTAACCACCGCAGCCGATTTATTTTATTGGACTTAATAATATCAGGTCTGTCATACAGGCGGTAAAGATCGAAATTATAAACTCAAAATGATCCAATATAGAATTGTAATATCAAAAATTTTATTATGTATTTTTTTTACTGTTTACGTATTTCTTAATATAGGTACAACATACTATATATATAGTACAGGTTGTTTACAACTGTCGTTGTTTTCCTGTCCCTAGTTTCCATCGTTTCCTATCTCGGGTGTCGGCTTCATTTAGCTGTCTTCCTTCCATGGCTTCATTCACGTCATCTCGCCAGCTTCTTCTTGGACGCCCTCTTTTCCTTCTTTCGGTTGGGATCCATTTTAATATTTTCTTTGGCCACCTCTCGTCTGCCATTCTGTTTACATGACCGAACCAAGTTAGTTGTTTTTTCTGGACTTCATCTATAATGTCTTTTTCTTGCTCCATTCTACGTTTTATTTCTTCATTGCGGATTCTGTCCATCCTTGTCAATCTACAGCTTCTTCTCATAAAATCCATCTCGGTAGCTTGTAATTTTTTCCTGTTTCTTTTACTAGTGTCCCATATCTCTGCTCCGTATGTTACCACCGGCTCAACCATCGTCTTATATATTCGTTTTTTCGTCGTTCTTGTGATTTTTTTATCCCAGAGAATGGAGTTTAGGCATTTGGTAATGTTTCTGCCTTTGTTTATTCTTGTATTTATTTCTTCATGGCTATTTCCGTCTTTTGTAAACACTACTCCTAGGTATTTTACTCTATTTGTTCCTTTGATTTTGTCACTCTCCAATGTCAGGTCTTCGACTGTATTTTTCCCCACTGAGAGATATTCGCATTTTTGTAAGTTCATTGTCAGTCCACATTCTTCGTACGCTGTTTGTAGTTTCCTAACCATATAGCTGAGGTCGTCTATATCTTCTGCTACCACCAGTTGGTCATCAGCGAAGAATAGTGTATAGAGAATATCCTCATCTATTTGTATTCCCATATTTCTGCATTGTCTTTGCCACTTTTGTAGAGATCGATCCAGATATATTTTAAACAGCGTAGGTGATAAACAACATCCCTGTCGTAGCCCTTTCGTAGTGTTGAATTTCTCACTAAGTTTGCCACCTATTTTAATTGATGCGGTATTGTTTACATACCACTTTTGAGTTGCTATTATTAACGAAGGTTTTATTTCCATGTTTTGCATTTCACTCCATAAATTATTTATCGGCACGTTATTATATGCCTTTTCAAGATCTATCGGGGCTATATGTGTTTCTTTGTTTCTTTGTTGTCACTTTTCGATTTATATTTTAAGTGTAAATAGATTGTCTATAGTCGATCTTCCAGCTCTGAATCCGCATTGTTCTTCTGGTTGTTTCATACGAATGTCTTCTTCTATGAGGTTTCTAAGTATTCGGGAGTACAGTCGTCCTATAGTGGGGATGACAGCAATTCCTCTATAGTTTCTGACATTGTTTCGTGCTCCTTTTTTGTATATTGGGGTTATATAGGCCTACTACATACTACATACTTAATATAGGTACTTAATATAGGTACTATTTCACTAACAAAATTTTCTTTTATAGGAGTAAACTTAAGGACAGGTCGAATGGGTATTTTTCCTTCAGCTTATGCTGTTGACTGTGATTATAGTGACTGGGATACATCCTGTGAACATGGACGGCGAGAGCGTTATCTATTAGGTACGTACACACGATGTAGTAAAAGTTTATGGTTAGTATAGTAGAATTTAACAGAATATCTAACACAGATATATTGACTGGCTGAATGGCAAACGCCTATGCCAAAAAAAACACAGATATAAAATCATATTTTCAGCGAATAGACAAAGATAACAATCATACTTCCCCTTGGTCTCCCTCCACATTCCTCATGCACGCCCATTAGTGAACGCTAGACGATTATTTCCGATCCAGCTTATACGTAAGAAACCGCGGCAGGGTTGCCTTATTACATATTTGAATTAAAACATTGAATTGATTTAAAAAATTGGCGATCAGTGGCACGGATATATTGCCATTCAAAACTGGATGAGGATATTAAAAAATGAAACACTAATTGACACAAATACTGGAACAGGATTTCTTAAATCTATGAGAAATTTACAGATTCGCATTTTTATTTGACGAAATTGTAACCTAATTTTCAACAAAAAATATTTCATTTTGGTCTGCGCTGAATCATTCGTTTTCATTGGTTATATTTTAAGTAACATGCTAGATGCGTGTTACTTGCTACTTGCCACTTGCCAGTTTGGTGGGCGCTCTCCCTAAGAGATAGGTTACGTGAGGTCTGACCGACGTAACATGTACCACACGTGCTACTCAGTATGGAATAAATCACATTAGATACTAATAAAAAAATAAAATGGTATTAATAAGAGATATGACATTATTAATTTAAGCATCATTTATAATAACATTTTGTTATTAAATCATTGTATCATCATTGTCATGTAAATTCTAAATCATTTGGCAGGAAAGCGAATATAATTTTACCTACGAGCTCTCTGAGCATGTGATCTCCAATTTTCTGATTTCTTTTTTTATATTTTAAAAATATTTTTGTCTCTTTGTTTTTATTTTGATGAAAAAAACGTTGTTTTTCCTCTCAAGGTTCGTTTTAATAGCTATAAATCATTTTTTAACCCCCATAAAAAATCTTCGTGTACAATTTATTAACGAGTTGTTTATTTCCGCAGGTTATATTGGGTCAGTGGAAACGTTAGCCCATAAGGGCACATCGGTGGTGTGTCAGGCTGTTAGGAGAGTTATTGGAAATTCAGGAAATGACCCGGAATTACACCCTTGCACTTTAGAAGTTTCCGATCAAGGTCTTCGAATGGTAGATAGGAGGAAAAGAAATGTAGGTTACTTTACATAACTTCATTAATTTTCATTAGATGCTAAATTAAAGTGTGTAGGATTTAAAGGTGTTTATTTAACAGGGTCGTAGAAGGGGTGGTATCCATTCTAGCCTCAGACAGAAAACAGTTGTATGAGTGTCTAAACAATTTTTTGTTAAAACTTTAACATTACTAATAACTTTTAGTAAAACGGAAATAACATTTACTGTACTCTTAACAAATTAGCAGTCAAATAGCCTTGTCAAGTGTGTACCAACGCAATTCTACCCGAATTTGCGTATAAAATACACGGTTCGTATATTGCAAAATTAAACTTCAAAAATTATTGAAAATCTATATTTGCCAGTTCCCAACAAAACATATCGCGTGCTTTTAAAAAATGATGTAACAAAAATTATCACTTATAAGCATCAATCTATACATAGACAAAATTAAAAAATCTTACGCCACGGAAACATCGACCGTTCAGCCCTCAGAGTCTTAGTCAACTGTCAGAACCTCATCAATTTTTATTACACCACTTACGCGTTAAAATAAAGAAAATAAATTGAAGTGATGGCGATAAAATATAAAAATTATTGCCGACAAGTGGAAAGATTGTTATGATTTAAAAAGGTTTTATAGCTAAAGCTTTCTTTGAATTTTAATAAGAGATTTTTAACTTCAGCATTTAAAGCGGTATACAAACAAAATAATTATCAAATGGCTGTGACATCCTCCCACCTGAGGCATTTTACAAAAGTAAACATGGCTCACAATATTAATATTGGCACAAAAGTAAACAAAACTACAGCAAATAACATAAAACCATAACAGACAAAATTCGAAATATAATTAAGCAAAAACTAAATCTACTCGTTAGCGTATCGCACAGGAGTTTTGACGCTGCGCCCACTTCGCGTAACAATTTTTTTCGTTTCGGGTACTCTGCTTTCAGACACTCCCGTTTCCGCGTCGTTTTCGGAGGCACTCACTTCCGCGCCTTCACATAAACTTAAACGAGATCCTCTGTCTTCGGTCTCTCCCGTGTTGTCCGTTCGGTCATTGCCTAGCGTCTGAGAAAAATCTGCTGGGCACTCCATGGGGTAGATACGCTGAATTGGTCTTAAAAATTGACCTCTTTCTGTAGAAATCCTAACAAGCCGAATTTGACCATCTCTACCGGGAATAGTATCAGTTACACGACCAAGAGGCCAATTAACACGCTTGTCCTGGTCGTTTCCTACGAATACTACATCTCCTACTTTGACTTGGTGTTTAAAATTCTTTTTCGACCATAATTTTAACTGACCTAGATATTCATTCCGAAATCTTCGTCGAAGATCTTCTAACAATCTTTGCCTGTGCAGAATTTTTCTGGATAGAGATCTACCATCAACTGCATCACAATCGGGGACACCGTCTTCTATCTGATCTCTAAGGAACATCTGTGGTGTTAAAGGTACCATCTCCGTGGTATCTGATGTGGGACAGGTAAGTGGTCGAGAATTTATGATGGATTCACAATCACATAAGACAGTCAATAGGCTTTCATAATCCAGTGAAGCACGTCCCAATACTTTACGCAACAGTTGCTTCAACATGCCCACGAGCCTTTCCCAAAAACCACCCCACCACGCAGCTGTCGGGGGGTTAAACCGCCACTGGATCCGCTCATTAATACTGTTCTCAGCTATTTTTTGAAAGTCTACTCGAGAAAACGCGTTCTCAGTTCCGACAAAGTTAGTTCCATTATCACTGTATATAGTCTTCGGACGACCACGTCTGGCAATAAAACGTCTTAGAACCTGCATGAAGCAGGCGACTGACAACGAGGTGCAAAGTTCGACATGTACAGCACGATATACGGCACACGTAAAAAGACATATCCATGCTTTTCCTCCGGTGGCTAGGTAAAGCGGTCCCGCAAAATCTACGCCCGTCGTTTCGAATGCTACCGCGTCCCGGACGCGATCTACTGGTAACGGCGGAGCACTTGCCCCGAATGGCTTCGCATTATGCCTTTTGCAGACGACACACTTAATGATGGCTGATTTTATCGCCCGTCGACCACCTAAAATCCAATATCGTTCGCGCACGATACTCGTGAGTCCTTGAGTTCCAATATGACACGACTTAACATGTTCCCGGAATAACAACCTATTCACTAAAAAATGTTTTGCCGGTAAAACTATAGGAAACCGAAAATACTCTAGGTCATTTCTATTACTAATACGCGACTGTAAGCGAATTAGTCCATGCTCATCCTTAAAAGCGTTCATTCCCGATAATCTATTGTCTTTATTCAGAAATAGGGTGTCGTCACTCTTATTCCACTTTATTCCCAACACCTGAGTTGAAGCTGCAAGGTTTTCATCCTGTATTTGGCCAGTATACTCCCACCCTCTGAGGTCAAACTTGCCTTCACTCATTATTATGTTTGACTCTTCTATAAAAGTTCTCAGTTCCTGCTCATTTCTCACACTGGTAACACAATTATCAACGTAAAAACTATTGGATAAATTTGTAATTGTGTCTTCTGAAACATTAAGCCGTGCCGAAGAGCATTTTTCTAACATCTGCGATAAATGATAGTCCAGCGTAGCTGCCAATAAAAATGGACTACTACTTATTCCAAATACAACTCGACAGTGACGGTAAATCCTTTCTTTTCCAGTTTTATCTATCCATAGAAAGCGAAGAAAATCCCTGTCAGCTTTATGCAGGCCAATTTGCAAAAATGCTTTCCGAATATCGGAGATTACACCAATTTCCTTTTGTCTAAATCTCAACAAAATAGCTGGAATCAATTCAATCAGATTAACCCCCTTTTCAAGACACTGATTTAAAGAAGATCTGTGTTTTTCTTTGGCCGAAGCATCAAAGACCGGTCTGATTTTTATAGATAAGCTATTTGGCTTAATTATCGGTCTATGGGGTAAATAATGACATTCTTGGCTAGGCTGCTCCTCGGATATTTCTTCAATTATACCTTCGTCCAACCAATCCTTAAATATTTGGTCGTAGGTTTCAAGATATCCGTCTTTCGTTATTTTCTTAAATGTGCTCTCGAGTCTCCTTTTTGCAATTTGGTAGTTGCTCGGCAATGCCGGATGTCCTTCCAGCCATGGGAGTCTCACTTCATATCGTCCACTAGAATCCGATGACACTGTTTCAAAGAAAAGTTTCCTGGCTGCTAGCGCAGTTTCTTCACTTGACTTCCTTTCAGTTGGATCACCAATGCCCAAAACGTCTAGCTCCCAAAGATTACTAACTGAAGCATTTTTAACAAAAAGTGATACAACTGATGTGGTATTATTGTCCCGTTGACCTAAAGGTATCTTGCCCATTAAAGTCCAACCTAATAATGTTTCTACAGCTACCAATCCACTTTCCAATATGTGCCTCCTCCCAGTATAGAGTTTTCCAGCAATATCAGCTCCTATTAAAATCTCTATAGGAGACGCATCACCCAAGTCCGATAGTTTTATATTAAACATACCAAGTTCTTCTATCCAGGGACCATTAAATATGGAAGAGACGTCGCTACATATAACGTTTTGATCTAGTGCCTCAAATGTATAACTATAATTGTTATGAAACACTCTAACATCATAGCAATCATGTTTTTGCGCTAATTGGTTTCCTCCAAACAATCCATGTACTAGATTAATCTGTCGTTTACTAGGATAACCCAAAAGTTTAGCTGTAGATTTCAAAATGTACGTTTTTTGCGATCCGGTATCTATAAGAGCACGTACAACTCGCGACTTGTCTAAATAGTTTATTTCAATACGCAGAGTTTGCAAAAAAACATTCGTATTAGCACTATTAGCGAGCGTCTGTTCAATTCTTGGCACGGCAATGCCATCGTTTTCTTTCTGCTCTTCTGTGTCCTGCTTTACCCGGTGTCTTGAAAGTTCAGTGCACATTAAAGGTACATGCGATTTAGAGCAAATTAAACAACTTAATTGACTGCGACATTTTCGAGACTGATGTCCAATTTTCAAACAACGAAAACACGCGCCTTTTTCTGTCAAAATATTTTTCCTTTGGTCATAAGTTAATTTCTGTGCTTTAAAACAGTGGCTGCTTTCATGCGAATTCTGACAAAAAACACATTTATAGATAGTGTGAGAATTAACTAAACCCATCGCGGAAGGAGACTTGTGCTTGTTTTCCTCGTGTCTCCTTGTTTTTGGGCCTGTAGATTTAAAATCTTCGGTTTTAGCAGCATGCAAATGGAAATTCTCGACTGCTAAAGAAAGGTGCTGCTCATTGTCAACTTCCTTTTTCAAGAACAACATTAAACTCTGAAGTCGATTTTCGATGCTTGCGATGCCGGCAGAATTAAGTGACGCTTGTGATCCGATACTTTCTGGCAATCGTTGCCAAACTCTTAATAAATCTGAAGGTAGACAGGATTCAACTAAAGGAAATAACATAGCCGCGTATTTATCCGACTTAATACCGAGTGTTTCCAGAACCCTCAACTGAGTCTCTAATTTGTCGTATAACAAGGATAGATCTAATTTATTGCCAGACGCAGTATTATTTATTACTAATTTAAGTAATTCCCGTACATAAACTTCGATCTGCAAGTCATCCCGACCGAAACGCGAAATAAGACAGTCAATCATAGCATCATAATTACTTCCAGTGGCGGGAAAACTATCCACTAGTTGCCTAGCTCTACTACCCGGTATAGTAGCTTGAATCAAATATTCGACCTTGTCGTTCGGATCTATGTCAGGATCATGATGAACTTTTTGAAATTGTGACCAAAAAGGCAACCAGTTTTTAATATTCCCGTCGAATTTTTTGAACTCTAATGTAGGTAATTTAAATTTTCGCTTACCGCGTCTGCTGTCTAAACTACTCCTATCATCAGATATCCTAGAAGCTACCTCACCTTCCACTGCACCTGTCACTATTGACTGCATACGGTCTTCGAACTGCATACTGAGATCCAAAAACTTCTTGCTATAGTTGTCACTACACTCAATTTCTGCTAAAAGGTCTTCTTCACTAGCGTCTTCACTTAGTAATAGACCGTAGATTTCTTCATCACTTTTCCTTAGGTCTTCAATTTTTTGGCGTAATAGATCCAAGGAAACTTTAATTGATCGTATCTCACCCTCCGGCGCCGACAAAAGCTTATCCATTTCATTCGCCGTCCTCGTGAAGGTGCTACGGAGCACTTTGCGATGTTTCTTCTTTTGATCCATTTTTCTCTGCAAACTTGGTCAAAACCACACACGTTTACCGAAAGTTACAGGCGAAACGCGATAAAGTTTGTCCGGTGATCGTCAATTCAATTTTGTTACACCTCGTATACAACCACGATTAATTTTATGGAAACAGTCCTGTCACGGTCGCCAAATATGTCAAGTGTGTACCAACGCAATTCTACCCGAATTTGCGTATAAAATACACGGTTCGTATATTGCAAAATTAAACTTCAAAAATTATTGAAAATCTATATTTGCCAGTTCCCAACAAAACATATCGCGTGCTTTTAAAAAATGATGTAACAAAAATTATCACTTATAAGCATCAATCTATACATAGACAAAATTAAAAAATCTTACGCCACGGAAACATCGACCGTTCAGCCCTCAGAGTCTTAGTCAACTGTCAGAACCTCATCAATTTTTATTACACCACTTACGCGTTAAAATAAAGAAAATAAATTGAAGTGATGGCGATAAAATATAAAAATTATTGCCGACAAGTGGAAAGATTGTTATGATTTAAAAAGGTTTTATAGCTAAAGCTTTCTTTGAATTTTAATAAGAGATTTTTAACTTCAGCATTTAAAGCGGTATACAAACAAAATAATTATCAAATGGCTGTGACAAGCCTAAACTGAAGAACAATCTAAGAATGAAATGGAGCGGCCGTAATTATTATGAGAGTTAGTACAGCTTTTTCAAGCCTAAACTTATATACTTAATCGTCTTTGCTTATATACTGCGTGAATATGACTCACAGCTCCTGTCAAAATCTTGTCTCTTATCTTTTTTCGGGAAAAAATCGTAAGAAGTCGATGGATAGGGTACAGGAAGCTATCTTTCTTACGTAACAGAATAAAATGGATGCGTACTAAGGTGGAAGATGTATTTAGAGAAACTGTTGATAGAGGAAAGTGTATTTATCACAACTATCTAGTTGACATTTTAGAAAAAAATCTTACAGGAGAAAAAAAATGAAGTTGCAAGTGCAAGAAACTGAAATCAGAAATTCACATTTTCCAACTACATTCAGACAATTTTAGTACTTATGTTGAAATATTTCAAATTCAAAATCTCGTGGGATTATTTTCCAAGTTTTGTAACCATTATTACAGTTTTGTTATCTTTATGTAATATATTGTATCCTTTTTTGTTTTTTAGCAAAACGAACCCTGCATAGACTACTTTTATTCCTTGAAAAACGTATCTTTTTGTGCATTTCATCCCCGTGACCATCGCTATTTAGGTTTTATAACGAAACATCCGACGTTACAGAGGTTTGCTTGTCATGTGTTTAGAGGCCAAGATTCAACTAGGCCTGTAGCTGAAGCTGTTGGGTAAGTTATTATACTGTTAGTTGATGCGCACTAAAATAAAGCATTCTTTATTTGTATTTCTAAAAGAATTTGTAGTAAAACCCCATGTATTATAAAATCTACAACAATTGAGGGTGGAAAAATTCACTCGTCCACTAATAGGCAATAACTTTTCACTTAAACGTCGAAAACAATTATAGAGCTTTATAAAAAAGGGCTAATATCCATTACATATGGTTCCAAAAACTATTGTTTTGAATGTAACATAATAGTGTAGTGGCGTAAATTTGTATATGGGTTAAATTGTTCGAACTGAATACCTACATTTAGTTGCTGTGAAGAGATCGAAGCGTGTAATATGAAAAGACAATTTAGACGATAATTCTGTTCATCTACAACAAGAAATTGCCGAGAAAGTTGCCACAACGAGGATTACAAAAATTATAAGAATATTTCCTTCTAGCAAGATGCCTATAACCAAGAGTCGCTAAAACCGACTAGAATCCCCTCACAAACTACTAAGAGGTTAGATTTTTAAATAAGCTGTCAGTTGTTGAAATCTAGACAAATCTTAGATTTCTTATCTTTAAAAACCTATCTAGAAATCTTGCTCTGATTAATCTCAAATTTTTTTACCTGACGGATACCTGATGGATTTGTTTTGTTATTGGTAGCGCCATCTATAGGTACGTCAGTTGCAAAGACTTATACAGTGATCATCGAGCAAAAAGACTTGTCTTTTTGCTCGATGACAGTAATGTAATCTTTCCAACTCGATGAATATTTCATTACTTATAACAAAATGTTTACTAAGTTGTTTATTATTTTAATATGTTGTATATAATATTTGTTTTGCGTAATAATGTAAATAACTAACGATATTTCTTATTTTTAGTCGTGCCTTTCAAAGGTTCTACCAGAAGTTTATCGAGACTGCTTATCCAGTTGAAGATATTTACATTGAGTAAATGTGTTAGTGCAATAAATAAATTCATCTATAATAATGTATATATACTATAAAACGCTGTCATCAATAAAGAAACTATCTACTTTTATTTATTATTTTTTTTATAATATACACAGATAAATTTGCTTTAAAATATTTCGGATTGAACTAGTAAACGACATACACTACAAACATCTTTATGAAATGTAGAAAAAATCATAAAGTGTGAACACAAGGAATCTAAACAATGCGCTAGAAAAAGAGTCTTGTTTTATTTATTGAGCTACTCTCTTTCCAACGACGCAACCAAAGAATATAGACGCTTATATAAGCGTCTATATTCTTAAGCATATAAGCGTCTATATTCTTTGACGCAACGACCCCTCATTCGTTGCCGCTCGACCAGCAGTGGCGCCTCCAAAAAATAAAACGTAAAAAATGACCAGAATAAACCTTGGAATTTCGTATGGAGATTTTCTTCAAAAAATGACCTGTTTGGCGCCAGTAACGGTATAGCCCTTTTTCTACTAGTTGAATTCTTTTCAGTATAAAATTGAACGTGAAACAGAAGAATAGATGAGGTTATGTTCAACTTAAGGAGGTTAAGTTAAAATGTAGTTTTATTTATTTATATAAAATTTTAATTTTTGTTGCTGTTGTACAAGACAAGATGGTGAAAATATCTAATGCACGTGTTAATTTTAATCCAAAATTACTGAAAAAGCTTAAAAAGAGGGAAAACTCTGGAGTAGAAGTTCATACAGCACTTCAACATTTAGCAATATACCCACATCAACTAAATAACTTTGGTGATTCTGTTAAAGGACTGTTGAATGCCAAAATAGCTAAATACAATAAAACGTAAGTATACGCCCTTTTTACTGAATAAATTTAATTAGAAGAATACACTTTAATAATCATCAACAACATGCTAAAATAAACTTTATCATAAATGTTCTATATTTCTTAGAAATTAATTAATTTGCAGTTTTCTCTTTTTGTTTCACTATCTCTCTGTTGCTTTACTTCTTATAAATGAGTAAGCACAAGAAGTATCTTTGTGGTTATGGAAAAGAACTGTTGATATCATAAATTATCTGGTTACCAAACAAACAGTAGAGGTATTTTCTATTAACAGTTTTTGTTAATTCTTTAGATTCAATGGTATTTTACTTGGCTACAAAAACATTAAACTACTAAAAGAAGGCGGAGTCATTCATGATGATTCTTGCTACATCCATTTCGACATCCGAGCTGATTTCTATATTTTCAAACCTGAGATAGGCAAAATCATGGAAGGTGTTGTGAAAAGAAAGAGTAAAGACCATATTGGAGCTCTTGTATATGAAGCCTTTAATGTTTCGATCCCATTAACAAATGATGACGAGGAAGAAGAATTAGGGAATACAGTGAAGGTGGGGGATAACGTTACGTTTCAGCTAACATATATCAATCTTACTTCATATTTGCCATACATTCGTGGAAAACTTATGTAAGTAATAATAAGTTTTTTTACACATTTTTGTTTTGTTTTTTTGTAAATTTGTAAGGAAGAAATCCAATTGTGGTGAATGAGGTTTATGTTCTCATTCCCTTGTTAATTTTCTAATGACTTATTAGAATTGTAGGAGCTGCCTTCACTTTTTTTATTATTTAAAGAGACTTCAGATGTTTATCTGCTATTTGTGAAGATATTATGTCTTCTATTTTAGAACCAATAACCACTAATACACAAATTGTTCCAAAAAAGAATAGTTTTGTTCATTACCAAGCCTTGTTTCACTTTTTTTACATTTGTGACAAATATATTCTGTGTAAATTTTACAAAAGTAACAAAAAGTACTTAAGTTTTCAATTGCTGTACGTTTTATTATTCCAAATATTAGATACATGCTTTCGTAATGTTCTCTGTTACTATTTACAATTTTTTCAAATCCACTTGACTGACAAAGACTGATGCAGACATTGATTGTTTTGAAGTAATTGTACCGTAGAAAGAATCAATAATAGTGTTATAATATTTTCCATTTATTAACTTTAACGTTGTAGATCGGAAACAACTGAAACAGAAACAAATGAAACAGAAATAAAAGTGAAGAAAAAGAAGAAATCAAAGACCAAAGAAAAGAAACTTGAAGTTGAAGAAATGGAAGATGAGTAATATTTATTTAAGATACAATAAGAAAAATAAACATTTTATTGTGATTGACTTTATATACTCTTGCATTTATTGTTTGTATATGATCAATAAGAACATTCTTTATATTATTTTTTATGTACGGCCTGTAAATAAATTTTGTTTAATTTTTATTCCATTTTCAATTGTCCTTGAGGTTTATTCTGTGATACTTACATGGGCTGTGTAAAGCTGTCTAGATACTAACCATTATGAGGAGTAGGATTTGGATTATTTATTTAGAGTTCCTATTTTTTACTTTCACAGTTTTGAGAAAGCTAAAATATCTATTAAAACTCACAAGACTCTTCTTTATTTCATGTTCTGAAGTTTGAGAAAGACGTGGTTAGTATTGGAAAAATAGGGGTTCCAAAATATCTCAGCTTCTACCTATATACCCTCATTTGAAAGTCATTAGTTCAGTCAAACTGGCTAAAGAAACTCATAATCAACAAATACTGTGAGTAATTTGTGTTAACGCTTTGTGGAATTAACTGAGCTAACCGAACTGTGTGGGGCTAATGTCTCTTTCACATCTTATAAATGAGGAATTGAACTGACAAAAGGCTTACATCTAAGAAAAATAAAAAACTTACTCAACTGATTCTGGTAATCAATCACCTTATTTAATAAGCTATTGAAGTTTTCTTCAAAAAATTATTGCTACCCTGTATATATTGAATATAGTGAACCTTCTGTTCAATGTATATGTTACAAGCAATGTCCGAAATTGAACAATCCTAGCATTGTACGAAAAATCTTGTCCACTTCTAGCATTGTACCCCTTTTCTGTACAGTCTCCGAAATAGACATAATCAGCAGACTGTATATAAAAGAATTGCTGTACAATGTTTGAATTTCAAGAAGTAGCCATGCATCAAAGTTTGGGAGAATATGACAGATATCGATTTTTACTAACATTATCACTCTATTGTAGAACAATTTTTTTCTTATTATTTATATTTTAGTTTGACTTAGCAGTTTATCACATTGTCAATTTGAAAAAGAATAACTCTATAATATATAAATATAAAAGATCAAATTGTTCGATTTTTGATTTGGTGGGTGTTTCGATAATCATCTTTAATTTTGGACATTGTACAGTTTGGGGGTACAATGCTAGAAGTGGACAATAATTTCCATACAATGCTAGGATTGTCCAATTTCGGGCTTTGCTCGTAACATATATACACACACCTCAAAAAATTGAACTACCTCTATCACATGAAAAAATGTCAAGGTAAATAAAGTACACAATCTTATACCTTCTTGCTTCTAGAAAAATGTTGATCTAGATGAAGATCTTTATATTGACCTGAAAGATCTTGAAGTTTCTAATATCCATGTATATTGATGCTTGAGTGTAATTTAACAATACTAAAGTAGTAACATCTTAAATGAACTTGCTTACACTTTTCAAGATTTTTGTTTTCAAAATTCCTCAAACTTCAGAAAAAAAAAAATGAGAAATTAAAACAAATAATTTCAATATCTAAATAGTTTATTTATTAGTGTATTGAAAGGTGTTACAGAACATTTTTTCATCTCTCTAATCAGTTTCCCAAATAACATCACATTTTTCATATCAGTGAACAATGATTGCCCCATCTAAATGTAGTGAAATCCTAGCGAAGAGCTTGTTCATCTTGATGGTGGGTATGTAATTCTGAAATAGTTTGTGATTCCCTGTTCAAAGGGGTTTTAAGGTGATCGATAGTGCATACAAGTGCATTATGAGGTTTCTATCTTCTTCTCCTTAGTACCACCAAGAATATCTGCACTAACTTCTTGGAGGTCAATTTTCTGATCTTTCATGGCTTTCTACAACAAAAAGATTACTCATTAAAAATTTAATAATATTGAACAAAAATATGCCTGCAAATCATTTGCACAAGATTAGGACAGTCTACTGAACTGGAATAGAATAATTGGTGGTATACAGGTATGTAAATTATTTATTTAAAGCTGTACCTGATAAATGGGTGTAAGTTCTTCGATTTGATATAAAATAGGTATATCCTATAAACATACTGACCTTAACACATTGCTGATATACTTTAAATAAAGGTGCACACATAGAATCATTAGTACTGCCTCTCAAGAAATGATCTGAAAACCAACTGTTGAAACAGGCGTCGTATTCCTTTTTGAGATCATTACAAGCCTCTCCTATGCTGTTCATTGCAGTTTGCTTAAGCTAATTGCTTTTCCACGTGCGATGTATATAACATGAGTCGCAAATTTAAGTACAAGGTGAGGATGTGTTCTTTCTTATTTCTATTTCTTATTCTGTTTCATATCAAATGAATTAATCATAAATCAGCTGTCAATGATCACATCATGTTGAAAATGTCAAAATATTAATTTTTCCATACAGAGTAAAATCTTAGAACCTATCAAAAATATCTGAAGAAGACAATAGTAGGAGCTCAGTAGTTCGTCTAGGATTCTAGAAATATTAACATTAAAATCAAACTTATATAAATAATGGCTCTTCAATCTGTGAAATAACTTGAAAAATTCATCATTATCCTTAATCCTTATTCGCATGTGTCTGTTTTAAAAATATATGCTTTGACACTGACATTAGACCGGCTGTTTTCTGTCAAAAATGAAAATGTCAATTCTGGTGTATGTGTAAATATGTTTTAATAAATAGTTTAAATAAAGTGAAAATTTCTTCCAATATAAAAGCAAAATCTTTACCAATAGCATGTGAACGATTTAAGTAAGTATATTATGTTTAGGTATATAAGGTTCTCAGTAATCGATGTTAACAAATTATCTATTATGTATGGACCCCCAGGAAGTATGTTTACATGAAATAGGATTTATAAACATATAGAGACCTTTCTAAGTTTGATTACATCTATTTTAGACATTTTAAGGCATATTGATGTCTTGTTAAGCCTATATTCAAGGGTATGCAATTTGTTAATTTGGGTCACTTGTAAATAATGTTTTTAACATCTATAATTAGTGTTTATGTAATTTTAAATATTTGCACATGATTATATTACTACAATGTTATTTCCTTTCATTTAAAATTGTTGCTGCTAGTTTTAATTAACTAAAACCCATATTGGCTATTAAATATAAGATGTGTTAGTTATTTTCTAATATTTTTGTGTGTGTAGCCCTAATAAGCTACAAGTTTTCATTACTTTTGTGTCATCAATTAATGATTTCCAGTTTCCTGTTTCAGTAACTTTTATAAAGTCTTTTATCTTTCATTTATACTTTGGTGTTTCTGAAAGACCTGTGTAAAAATTTATTCAGTTTAAAAATAGTACAATAGTTATTTACTTACAAGCGACGCACCAAATAGAATAACAAACACATTTGAAGTTCAAGTGACAAAGGAGCTAGATAGAATGTCCAAAAAAAGCCAAAACTACATGGAAACTACACAAAGTAAATTGTTCAGCAGAAATATTTAAGAGGAGTACAAAAATCAATATTTTTTGTTATGCTATTAATATTAATAGCAAAAGAAAGTCATTAAAGGATGTAATTAATAAATTAAGGGGTTTGTTAAGTACTACAAGACCCATCTTTAGAGATAGTATCAAAGATACAGTTATTAAATCTTCTTCCTCATCAACCTTTATCCATCCACTCCTGAATGTAGGTCTCCCAATTAGTTCTATGTTTCTCTGTCCTATGCGAATCTCATCTACTGTTTGCTCACCACTGTTCTTATATCATCTATTGATCTCTTTTGATATCCGCTTATGATTCTTTTTGTCCCTCTTGATCTCCACTTCACTCAAGACCACAGTGGAATTAAGTGCTCTCAAGAAATTGGAAGAAAATATCTTTGGAAGAAAATGCGATGTTAGTTTTATATGGTGGTATTATTTTTTTTTCTTTACAGTTTTCTTTACAAATGCCTGTGCAAATTTAACAAATGTAGTATGTGTTGTCTGTTCAGTGCAGCCATGTAAGTCGGTATATTGGCCTTGATGTATCAGATGATCTATCAGCTCATAATCTTTGATTTTTGCTGAAATCAACTTCGAAATATGCAATAATACTCTATTTCAAGTAATCAATTGAAACACTACTTTTCTCATATCAAACAATAGCTGTCATTACTGTTTCAGCTGATCAAGTGGTTTTGGTCTTCTTAGAAGGGCCATCATCACTGTTTTTCCACTGCCTTGATTGCTCGTTTGTTCCTGGTGGGTAGATCCACGTTATCACCAATTATGTATCAAATTATGAAAAAAAAAAGCTATGATTTTTTTATTATATTGTCAAAACGTTCCTGAATCCTAATTAAAGACCCTATATTAGTTAATGTAGTAAATAAATGCCAAGTTTTGATAACTCTTACACTTATGGTTTTTAAAAACTCTTTTTTCTTATATTTATAATATTTTATGGCTAATAGGCACTGAGGATTTTATTAGGTATACAAATGTACTTATGTATCTCCTTGTGGGAACTTTGTATATGGAAATATTGAAATAAATATTTTCTTCTGTTCAATATATTAACTACATTTTTTTCAGGTTTTTCAATTAAGGATATCCCATTTTATCAATGCGTTTCAACAAGCAGGAACTGGTCACTTTGGCCACACAACCATCTACCAAATTTGAAAAAGAAGGGGTTTTAATCCTGCGTGAAAAACAGGAAGGATTTTTCAGAAAAACAGAAAGTAAGCAATGTTCCCAGTAATCTTAGATTTGCAATTCACCAAATTTGCTATCCAAAAGAAGTCTTCTGACTTCTTTTTGCTTCATATATGCTTCAGGAATGTTATGTTACTATAACAGCCAAAGAGATTGCATTTTATTTCAGTTTGAACTACCACAAGTGTTCCTGATGAGAGTTGAATAAGTTGAAACAGGTGTAGAACAATGGTGGAGCTCAATTTGAAAGGAAATGCAATTGTTTACTTTTATTTTAATGTATTAATTTTTCCTAAAATCGTTAAATAGCTTCGAGTAAGCTTTGATTTGCGATTCACGGCATTGGCTATTGAAGAGAAGTCTCATGACTTGTTGCTTCATATAGGGGTCACTGATAGTCTACACAGGCATGCACTCTTTTGAAAAAAAAAATTGTTTTTTGAACAGCTTTTAAAAAAACGTTAATAGTATCACATTATGATAAATTTTGTCTTGCGTTTCAGTTAGTTTAGAACGATGGTGTCGTCTAAGGGGCAATTTATTGTTTTACTTCAAAAATCGAGATCCGTGGTCGGAGCCCTTAGGGGTGATTGTACTCGAACAGTGCCAAGTTAGAATAGATCCACCAATGTCAGGTTCAGCTTTTGCCATTGAAGGATATTTTCCATTTTATCTGGGTAAGTTTGTCAAAATAGAACATTATACAAGTGAATATTATATTTTAAATAAAAAGTTACTTTATGAGATGATCATTACAGTAGAGAGACGATCTAATCATTGGATCGCACATTTAGCAAAGCTTATTTCACATCTGTTTCAGTTTTTGATGGAGGTCTTAACCAGGCTCTAGCTTCAGTATCGGATGCTGAACGATCGAGTTGGATAGACGCCATCAGACACGCCAGCTACGAGGGAATACGAGCCGAGTTAGGAGCTCTGAGACAGTGTATAGAAAGAAGAAGAAGTCACAAACCAGTAGTTGATCTTCAGACTTGGAGATTACAGCACACACATACGCTTGATGTCACTGAAATACCATTGTGTGAAGTATCCTTTTCATGTGATAATTTACTCTGTGATGGACATGGTAGACCTCCAAATCCTTCTCTAGTCGTAGATGTTTTTATACCTTCTTCCAAATTTTGGGTGCAGTATGGCAGGACCGAAGTTATAGAGGTAAGTGTGTTAATGTAAACAATAAAACTGACTGTCAATATAATTTATGTATATTTCAGAGATGTAGTAACCCAATATTTCTTTCAACCGTGAGCTTCCGCGCCTCTGACGGCCTTTCTAGAGACACTAGAGTCAGATTTACTGTTTTCGACGTACGTGAAAGAGTATCTGATACAGCTGTGCCGCTAGGATCCGCTTGTATTCTTCTGAGTGTCATGCAAGATTCCACTAGACTGCGGATACCCGTTTTATCCAGGTCGCAAAGCACAGTAGGATTTTTAACGATCAATGCTTGGTTTTTGGAGGGTGAGGATAAGGGGAGTAGCACTGAACATACGCCATGCAAGAAACCTTTACACAATCCCACACAGGTAAACACATAGAAAACTATTTTTTATAGATAGATATAGACAAATATGGAAGTGTTTGTAAATATAGTAAACGAGGAGCCTCTTATGAACCATATATCGATACATTTTGTTTTACTTGCAGGCTTTCGCTCATCGCAGATCCCAATCACTACCTCCAAGACTAGGTGTTAAAATGAAGCTTCCTAATCAGTCTGAATTAAAGTTAATATTTTCTTCGCCATATCTGCAAACTTACCGTTTCCATTCGGGATTAGGAGGGGATATTTGCGTGCATGAATACATGGCTGAGAGTAGGGTGTGTTTCTCTTTACCTCGTCAAGTTTTGTAAGTACTTATAGTAATTTTGTAACGTCATTAACATCCGTCAAAAATGTTTGTTTTTCGTTGAAATAATTAAATGTCGCGTTTCAGAGATATCTGGATCCAACAAGAAAAAGAACTTCTCCAAGAAGTAGCCGGTATGGGCGAGCTGCGCGAACCGTGGCATTCTAGACAAGTAGAACTATTAGATAGACACTTGCATCTCTTACGTCTCTATTCGCAAGCGAGAGAGAACCTGCAAGCTCACAAGGGAAGCCTCTTCAAAGCCAGTAGCCGCAAGGGGGACAGGAGCTTGGAGTTCGCTCCCGTTAACTTACATTTACAACGAATGTGGGTGCACAACGATACGCTTAACAAGTCAGGATTTTACGATTGGATCACAGTTGGAGCTTTTACAGCGCATTCTCATAAGTCGAAGAATGGGGGATTGATCAAGTAAGTAAAAATATAGTTTCCTAACTAGATTGGGGACTTCAAAGGAATTGTTTGTCTTGTAGATCTTTCCACACTGCCACCAAAAAGATTTTTATACTAGACATCTATCTTTGTTGCTTTCAAATGGGTCTTAGTACCTGCTGTCAAGCCTCTTTTGGGCTTAAAGACTTGCGTCGTCAGATAATTCAAACTCCTTATTGCTGCGAATCAGCGCAGAGCGAATACATTATTCATTCTGCTAGAATAAAATGTGTGATGTTATATCTGTTTTTCTCTTTATTTTACAATTTAAATATAAAAAGTGCAGTCTGATCTATAGTGCGGCATATGTCAGACAGGTTTACAAGTATTGGTGCTTGATTCTTGCATTTATCTCAACTACTTCATTTATCTTCAATACAGGATATAGGATTTAATAACACTTACTTTTGATGCCGTCAATGATGGTATTAGCATATAGCTAGACTTTTTTTGTTAACATCAAGCTAACCTGTCAGCGCGGAGTTGAAGTTATTCTTTGTACAACTGGTCCTTCGAGCCGGATAACTATATTTAGCTGGATAACCTTCCACTTATGTAAGAAAAATTAAAAGGTTAATTTGTAAAGAGTAAATTTGAAGCTAGTTCAAATTGGTAATGAGGAAAAGGGACCCTAAGCTAAGCTAAGATTATATTTCAAGGAATAAAACAATTTCAGTAGATCGATAAGTTTATTTCATGTTTCCAATGTGAAGAAAGGAACGAAACTGTCTTGAAGGATTCCCACTGTAATATATTTGCTACATAAACAATTTGCAATTGACAAATAAAACAATAGAAAGAAAAATTGATATTAACATGGATAATGGTTTTTAGAGATTTGGGTAAAGGGCATTTTTCTGTCAAACCCTTCTTAACAGTACAAAAACAAGTAGTGAGTTAGTAAACTACGTTCCCACAGAAAAAATCTCCAAATTAACTTTAAATTACTCGAGAGTGTATATTCATTATTTTTGTTTTTTTTTTTCATTTAGATTAGTACAACAGTTAAAAGAATCTCCCATAAAGACTGGTGCGAATTGCCAAATAACAACAAAAATTTCCATGGCGAATGACGCCATACAAGCGATCAAACAGCTGCGAAAAGAAGTTGTGGAAGCCATGAGAAACCTAATGCGATTAGCGAAAGAAAAACAAACCAACGGCATGTTACCCATATGCGAAGACATGATTAACAAGACCCGGATACTCCTCAGTCTCTGGGACTCAGGTCTGGTCGAAGAGGCGCTAAATTTTATTGAGGAATACAAGTTATTGCCAAACGAGGATTCAGGCGTAGGAGATGATGATACCAGTATGGATAGTTTGGGCAGACCTAACGTTTTGTCGCCGTTCAAGAGAATTACCCAACAACTTACGTCGCTAGATCTAAGAAGTCCGGAGTTGGAAGACTTTGCGACTCCCTGTACGCCAATTAATGATGATGATATATGGAAGGTAAGTTTTAAAGACAGTTAATCATTTAGTGGTTATTATGAGAGCAATTTTTTGCAGGTGCAAAATAACAGCGATACAAATTGCAATTCTTTGAATTCCAGTGAAGTTGTGAAAAGTCTTTGTTCGAATATGCAAACACCAGACGAAAGCAATTTCGTTCTATTTCCTGAGTGTGAGGATAGTCAAAACGAGGTAAGAGTTTCGTAGCTCAGAATATTTATAGTTTTAAAATCATTTCTTACTTTAACACTAGAAAGTCGGGCTTAGCATACCTACCTAGAAAGTCCGAAGGGATCATTTTGGCCCCAAGTTCCTAAATCAATAAAAACCAAGTTTAGAATTAACTATTTATTTTGGAATAAACAAAAAATAAAAATAAAAAGTTTTAAGAAATTATATAAACTCTTGAGGATAAAATTTGATTTTTTAGTTTCATTTTAAACATTTGGAACACCATACAGTTTGCAGTTTTTGGCATTTGCCACACATTACCTTGTTACAGCCGTGGCACTCATTGGAAGTATGATTTCCTTTACAAAACATTTTTTTCTTTTTTGGCTAGTAACAGTGCTGGTGGTTGGTAAATCCGGTGGTGCTGGGTATAGTACCAGATTTCGGGAGGCAAGGTATGGAGCCCGTAACTCTTCACACAGCTGAAGAATAAACTTACGACGACTGATTTTACTTCCAGTAACTTCTTTATAAATAATCCATGCATTTATTGCTCCTGTCAAGAAGTCAAGAATATTATAAAATACGTGCATTGGCCATCGTCTTGAAGCAACCTTTGTAGTATAAAGACGCGCCATTTGGTCCACTACATCAACCCCGTATTTTGTTTTATTATAAAAACTTACTGTTTGAGGACGTTTTTTTCCATCGACAGCAACATCCACTGATTGATGTAATGAGCTCAACAAAAGCACATGTTTGTGACTCTTCCTTGGTATGCAGTAAGTGTTATCTTTTCGTGACTCTGGAATATATGGGTAACATATAATTCTCCATTTTTACTCGTTGCGCTTAGAGGAACTTCCTTTCTGTTGCGATTTAAAGTACCCACAAGACTTGTTGATTTCTTTTTGCAATGCCTTGGCCAATTTTAACGATGTAAAGTAGTTATCTGTTGTAACATGTTTGCCCTTTCCCAGTTGATTTTCCATTAACCGCAAAACATGTTCACCAACACTTGTATCTTTCTTGCGTAGATGATCAGTGCCAGTATAAGGGTAACCATTTACAATATATTTTGATTCCACGCATGTCAAAAGCCAAAATTTTATGCCAATCTTATCCGGCTTATTTGATATGTACTGTGTGAACGGGCACCTGGCTTTAGAAGGCAGTGGTTGTTCGTCCACAGTAAGGTTTATTCCCGGTTTGTAACATGCACCACTATTTTCTATAAATCCATTCCAAACCGCAGAGGCTAGAGCAAATTTGTCGGTTTTCAATCGTTCAGATCTCGTTTGCTTTATGTCAAATCTGAGATATTTTATAATATCGTTGAATCTGTCTCGTGGCATAGTTTGCCAAAAAAACTGAGGACCCCATACTGTTGACCACAAGCTGTTGGTTGGGAAATTTTTGGCGCCGTAGACTCCTCTTGCGTACATAATAGCAAGGGCAGCCTCCAGTTCTTCCAAAGTTATAGTCCATGTATCATTTTTCAAACATCGATGTGCTTCTGCAATAGTGCATTCTTTTATATGACGTAACATGCTGTCATTGATTATTAGATGCCAAGCACTTACCACACAATTGTTCCTTACGTTCCTTTTTGCATACGACGTAGGACCTGATTCCTCTCGATAAATGTTGTGCTGAGCGCGGCGTCCTGTAATGAGCAAACATTCAATGAATATGAAGATACTAAAAATCATAATCTTACCAGGTACTGATCCAGAATCAATATCTTTCCACGTTGTTCCGTCTTTCGATTGTTCGGTGTCTCCATTTGAAATAGTTTTTCCTTGTTGACCTCTTTTTCTCTTGTGACTTGGCTTAGATGCACTTGGATTCACGATAAAATTAGCTGACTCGTGCCGTTGAGTTGTAGAAGCAGTGTTTACATAAATTATTGAGTCTTATACAATAAACCTTTCTAACTATTCTGAAGCATCAGAGTCACTTAAATCATTATTTTGTGGTGATACGTATTGTTCATCGTCTGACTCATTATTTTCTGCAAATTCAGATTCACCTCCCGAAACATCTTCTTTTATTTTTCGTATTTCTTCAAGAAGTTCAAGCTCTGATAGTCCACGACGAGATATCTTTACAGTCGTCTTGAATTTTCACAATTGAACGAATATTTCAATATTCTAGAAACGAGCGTCAGCAGAACCTAATAAACCGCTCAATAAACAAAATACTTTCAAGGAACAAACAGTATGTAACAAAATACATTTTAGGAATAAACGTACATAAACATAATTTTATCTATCCGATAGAAAGTTAAAAGAAATCCTCAAATTTCCGAGAAAACGATAATAATTAATACAGGGCCAGTTTGGTCCCTTCAGACTTATATGGTAGGTTTGTTAGAAAATCCATTTAATAAATTTAGTAAACAATATTTTTTTGCGTTAAATAAGACTTTGTATCAAAATATTAAAAGTCATAAAATATGAAATTATTATTGTGTCAAATAAAAGAATTACAATAACTTCAAATCGCAACAGAGGCCAAATTGGCCCCTCCGACTTTCTAGTGTTAAGACAAGGAAAACTAAAAAGGACAAATAATAATAATTAATAAACAGATTTCGTTATGTGATGTTAATATTTATTTAATACTTTTATTCGCTATATAATGATATATATTCGTTGGAGAATTAAGTAACGAAACTTTGAATGAAATGCACAAATTTATTTAGTTTTTAACAGCTTCAGGTATAAAACTATACTGACTTAATGAATACAAACTATTTTTTAAAACCTCTCATAGTCCTTGAACATATCGCTGACACCTCGAAATTATCAGCGTGGGTGTTTATCATATCCCATGTAGTTGATTAGATATAGAATAACACTTGTTTGTCTACATTGACTTCCGTTTTGCGCAGGATACTCGCATGCAATTGTCTTACTCTCTCTTCCAGTGGAAGCATGAAATCAAATCAAAGTTGAGGTCATCTTTTAAGTCAAGCACTTGCGATTTTATGCCTACTTGAGGGCTTTTATTTTGCGCACCTTGATCTTGTGCAACGATAATGTTTAGCTTTATGTATTCTATAATTTATGTTGTATTTTCAGAGTTCCTTAGAAACCACAGCAGAATTAAATAACGTTACACCTGTACCTACGATTAATGTAAATAGCGATAGCGATAGCACCAACCAACCTCACTCTTTGGAACCAGACACGGGACGCACCTTTCTCGATACCAACATTATGTGCAGTTCTCCTTCGGCTAATTATTATAAACCGACTGACGAACCGGAACCTTGGGACATCACTCAGTTAAATATCGAGGCCAGCGTCATGTGTCTTGTGAGCAAAGTCAAGTTTTTGTGTGGAAGGTGAGTTTATAACCTTTATTTGATTATTATCTATAAATTATCCTATAATATAAGTTTGCAAGCAATCATAGGTTTTATTTGATATGTAGGGATATATCATTGATTATAAAAAGACGTATTTTAAAAATAAATAAGACAAGGTTGCGTAAATTCGCCTTTTCGGCCAATATGACGTTTTTCAATATTACTATAAAAAACTTGAACTTTCTGGCGGTCCTTCGTAAACAGCACTACTGTGAATCCATTACGGAAAGTGCACCAGCAACTTACCGTCATGCAGAAATCGAACATATATATGAGGGATGATAAAAAAGTTCTACGAATAGTGTTTCAAAACAATTTACAAACAGCTATTTCCAAACTATATCTTGATTTGATGAATATCGTTGATTGATTTCCAGATGTAATAGTCCCGCTGTCAGGTTGAAGCCGAACATGAGGAACAATAAAAAGACCGTTATCGTTGATCAACCTACGAGGGGAAACATCATCGATAAAGAAGCCGAGGCTGTGACAAAGGTTGTGAATAAAATTGTTAAGAACGGTAAGTCAAAAAATACTAACATACCAATAATTTTTTGGTATGTTAAACAACTTCATCTTTCCTCACAAGAGGTCTCTAGTAGCATACTCTGGTAATTATTTTTCCTATAATTGCCATCGTAGTCGGTGCGTTTTGATTTGGTTTGAGTCTTCTTACAAACTCTCTCTGATGACGGGTAGACCCAGAAACACGTGTTAGAGAATGGTAAGAGACTCAAATTAAATCTAAGTGCTACCGTCTTCGTATATTTAATTTGTTTTTGTATTTTTATTTTTACAATTATACAAATTATACAAATATTTAATTTGTATTTTTTAAACAGTTTTTCCATTTATAAATAAACAGTAAATATGCACAAACAATTTTAATCAACAAAACATCATAGATATCTGAAAATATCTCAAATACAACAATAAAAAAGTTTCTAGATCATTCTTAAAATTTTAAAAACATTTTAGAGGTCTTTATAACTTGTAGTTGGTATCTATAATCTGTAAAACTTTCTAGAAATTTCTGTAATATTCAAGAGCTCTTTAGAAATGTCTTTTGACCTTTGAACTTTAAAAAATTGAACTTTAGAGACTTTGTTATGATTCCTACAATTTTTTGCCCATTTCTGAAACTGTCTACGGCTTTAGAGTTTTCGATAGCTTTCGAGAACTGTCTATAACTTTCTAGAAAGTCACTGTTGTATTCGAAAGCTGTTTAGAACTTCCTCCAATTTTTATAACACTTTTAGGGTGTCCTTAAACTTTCCAAAACATATTAGAGATTTGTATAAAGTTTAAACAATTTCTATAATTTCTAAAACTTTCTAGAATTTTCAAAAGATGTCTATAACTTTCTAGAAAAACTGTTCGAAAGGTCTAGAATATAAATTTTTCAGTTTTGTATCTGTTTCTTGAACTGTCAAAAGTCAGTTTTACTAGTAGATATTATAGAACAGTTTCTCCAATGTCTGGACTGCGTATAGTTTTCTTGGACTTTCCTAAGTTTTCCAAATAATTTTAATTAATTTTCTTTAATTTTCTATTGCACTTTCGAACTTTCCATTACTTTCTAGGACTTCCTAGAATATTTAGGATTGTCTAAAACTGTTTATAACTGTCTTAACAAGTTTTAAGTTGTAGGCAACATGTGTATAATTTCTAAATCTTTCTAGAATTTACAAAAACTAGATATCAATTAGATTCAAGTTCTAGATGTCTATAACTTTTGAGAAGTTTCCTAATACTTTAGAGCTCCTTACAAGTGTCTGGTAAAAATTTCTGCGATGTCTAGATCTGTATATACTTTTCTAGGACTTTCCTAAGTTTTCCACATATTTTTAGAGCTTTCGAAATCTTTTTGGCAATATTTAGAACAGTCTAAAGATTTCTTTACCTTTTTCACAGCTTTTTAGAACTTTCTATTACTTTCTAGGAGTTACTAGAATGGTTAACACCAGCCTAAAACTGTTTACAATTTTCTAAAATAAATTATAACTTTCGTAAAAATTTGAAACTTTTTGTCTATTTCTGGGACAGTCTACATCTAGAATTTTCTATTTCTCTCGAGAACCAAAAAGTCCCTACTATGTAGAAAGCTATCTAGAACTGTCTTCAACTTTTTTAACACTTTCTAAAGCGTCCATAAACTTCTCAAAACGTTGTAGATATTTCTATAAGTTGTAAGTACCTTCTATAATATCTAGAACTTTCTAGAATTTTCAAAACGTCTTTCCGAATATCTATAGCTGTTTAGAAGTTACGATAATATTCAAGAAAAATTTCTATAACATTCGAGAGTTTCTAAACTTTCGAGAACGTTCTTAAAGGTTCTAAAACTTTTTAGTTTTGTACAATTGTGTATCTGTTTTTGGAACTGTCTAAAAATTTTCCGAATTTTCGATAGATTTTTTGAAAAAGCAGACGTTTTACTAGTTTACTAGACATTAAAGAGAAATTTAGACAACTTTCTAGCCCTCTTTCTAATTTTCTAGAGCGTTCTTATGAATTTTTATTATTTTCTAGAAACTTTTAGAACTTTAAAAGTGTCTATAGGACACTTAGAATACTTTGTAGAACGTTTTAAAACGTCCAAAAACTTTTGGAGTTCTCTATAGTACTCTATGTTAGAGATTTCTAGAGGTTTCTAGAATTGTCTATAAGTTTCTAGAGCTTTCACGAAATTTCTACAACTTTCTACAGTTTTGTAAAAATTTCTTTGTGTTAAGAGTTGCCTGGATATATCTACAACTCTCTAGAACTTTATAGAACTTTCCTAAACTTTAAACTTTTAACACGTTTATGACAAGACATTGTGAAAGTTGTTATAATATTTAAGGACTTTCTAGAACGTTCTAGAAAGTTTTATTTAAAACTCTAGATATATCAAAAACCTTTTCTCGGTTTTTGAAAGTGACTACAACTTTCTATAATTTGCTAGGGTTTTAGAGAAGTTCATACCACTTTCTAGAATGTTGAACAGATGTCTAGAAATGTCAATAGTTCATCATAGTACAATAGTCAATAGTTCAACATCATACAACTTTAGGGCGGTTTCTGGAACTAAATATAAGTTTCTTGAATTTCCGAGAGCTTTCTAAAATTGTTTATAACTGTAATATGATTTTTTTTACTAATTTCGTGAACAAATTACAAAAATTTTTTCTGGAAGAAAGAGGTGTGCTTCAAATATTCTTACCCTTTATATTTTTACGAATAAAGTGGTGTATACTTTCTGTGTTCCATAATATAATGCAATTCGTATCTTGATTACTCTGTGAAGTAGAAAGTTTGTCTAAGAATCTTGACTTTCTTTGCTCCAAGTATGTCTTCGACTCTACCACATCCTGTTGAGATCCAATCAATGGGAAGCATACTGTAGTGTGAGTTAAGACAAATTTGTGATGATTCAGTAGCTAATTATTTGAATTGAGAGTCATTGTGATATAAATGTTTGTAAATGTAAACATTAATATCATTTTTTTTTAATAACTGTGATGAATGAGCATCCCTATAATGTTATACTTGATGTGACTACCAATTTTCACTTCATACTGATGTTCCAAGGTACTTTACCACTGTTTTAACCCATTTTCAATTCCAGGTAACAAATTCACCGACGGTTTAGACATAAACAAAATCAGTGACTGGGTCGCAGAACTGAGACCCAGCATGCGGAAGCTACGCTTAGCCATGGACGGTTTACTGAAGACAGCGCGATTGACACACTCGGTTTTCAGGGTTCAAGAAAGCCCAAAAGTTGCTCAAAGGTTCTGCAATGTGCGGTACAGAAGGGATGTGTGCTTCTCCCAAGCGGTAAGTACGAAGAAATTTTTTATAGATGAAAAACGTTCACTTCTACATTAATTGCACAATTTATTGTAAAGTAGATCAGATTGTTCTTGTAGTTGGTATTTTACTCAAATTTCACACACTTTCATTATCGGAGTTGAGATTTGATCCAGGCTCTATTAGGTCAGAATTAATTGCATGCTTAAAAATTATTTGAGCAATTTAATTCTCAAAGTTAGTCGTCCTTTCATCACACACCAGTATTATGTGAGTGGCTTTAAAGTGAATCAAATACAGGATATAATGTTTAACACATGGACGTATAAACACAGATGGACTCAGTTATCAAAATTATTTGAATAGGTCACATTCTCAGCACCTTCAACTGTTGTCACGTTTTGTTTTAAAATTTCTTATTCCCGAGTCGCTGAAAATATTACTCCGTATTTTATACTCTACAGGTGCTATCAAACCAAAATAATAATTTATTGGTTATATTAATATATTTAATTGTAATCAAAATATCAAGTATGCACATATTAGTGTGCATTATCATTTAATAATAGCGTATAATAGATATCAATCAATTATTTTATATGTAGAAGCACTGAAAACTTCAATGCTGTTCCATGTTTGTTTACTTTTTACAGCAGATAAGGAAAAAGTTGTTTTTCGATATTTTGGGCTGTATTTTGAGTGATATTTGTGAAAAGTGAAATAAAATAAACGAAATATTTACATCCCGATCTCTCATTTCATTTGTAAGTACATACAATTTACATTATTTAAGATGAGGAAATGAGGAAGCGTGTTTGTTTACATTTTAATAGGCGTACCATTGGGTTTATTCATGTTCATTAATGTACTGAATAAGATATGAGTTCATGAAATTAGTAGACATTTATAAATTGTAAGTAGACATCATCTGATTAAAAAAGATCTGTTTAGTACCTTTTTAATTTAATATTTCTCATGGATACAAATAAATTAGTGACATGAATAAAACTCATTTATTTTTCTATGTAGGTTTCCAAATAATATTGACGATCGAACTATTTGGGTAGCAAATTAAGGAGAAAACATTTTCATATAATTTTTTGATTTTTTTTTTTTTTGACAAAGATTTTTTATTGTAGCATTATTTTGATACCTATTAAAAAATTAACTTGAATTCAACTATATTTAATTGTATTAATTTTAAAGCAAATAAAATTGTATTTTAATTTTTCGATAAAGACGTGATTTGTTAATAGTTAAACTCTCGTTTTTTTTAAATTCTTTGAACGTGTTTTTATACATTATTACTACTTCCAATTTTTAAAATCTGAATAATTACCCGCGAGTAATAATTCAAGCACGTTTATGCTCATTGCGGAAGCATCACATTCTATCGAAGCTTGAAAACATTGTGTGTTAAAAGTATCTTATTGCTGTGTCCATCTATGTTTATGCGTCCATGGTTTAACAGAAGTTCTATGAATAAATAACTCCAGCAGATGTCATAAAGGTATCCAAAAGGGCTTTAACGTATTTTAAATTATCGCATCTACTTTAAATTTGTGATTAAATAATAGTGGTGATAAGACGTAACCTTGTCGGACTCCTCGTCGGATTTGTATATCTTCGGATGTTGTGTGCTCTATTTCAATTGTTGCCGTTTAGTGCCAATATAGTTTTGAGATAATTAGCAAGTATTGTTCGTCAATTTCAGTTGTTCTCAGAATTTAGATTATCTTTTGATGGTTAACGCAGTCAAATGCTTTTCGATAATCAATAAACATGCATAATATCTGCATTAATATCTCTGCATCGTTGTGTTAACACATTTAAGGCAAAAAGTTCTCGTGTTCCCAATCCATTTCGAAATCAGAATTGAGTGTCACTTATCTGAAACTCACACTTCTTGTAAATTCGTGTATAAATGGCAGCATAGAGAACCAACGGATAAACTGTGATGATCTACATTCCAGGTTTATGTTTAGTTATATTTTTTTCTTTTGTAGTTAACATCCCTGGTTACAGCTCTGATGGCAAAGCTTTGGTGCCATAAACCCGATCCGAATTACGTGACCATGTTGAATGGACTGGGACCGTTGGCGCACTTCGAAGGGCTTCTCAGCTATTACGGTAATGAAATTGACATGTGGGGCGATATGTCAGTTGCTATCGAAGATTTACGAACTGTGCTCTTTATCCTAGGTAAGTTTCAACAGTAAATTATGTATATAATCTAATAGTTACTCGGAATCCGACATTATGCAATATATCTATATAGTTTTTATGGTCTTTAATGTTTGTGACCATTTTTAATGTTTCAGTGAGGAGTCCTAGTCCAGCAACAGAACCGTATCCTACTCCCAAAGTGACAGGTACGAGAAATTCCCTGGTGGTATCTTTACCAGTGCCAGATTCTCTGCACAGTTTGATACCTTCCCGCCAAACGGTATCTTTCCACGTTACGCCAGTATTTTTTAATATAGGAATTAATGAAATGGCCACATTAGCGGAAAGTTTGGGTAAGTTTTCGAAAATTTAATTGTAAGATGAACGCAAATTGTCAGTTTTGAACTAAATATATCCCTCTAATATTATGATTTTAATCTACATCTGGTTCCAAAACTAATTAAACGAAAATATTTTAGGTTCCACAAAGCCACAAGAACGTTCTAATATCGATAATTTCGAAAGACTTAACGAATATTATTTAAGATACAAGAAATTGAAAATTTTAGACAATGCCCGAAGAATATCTTCCAGCGCCAGTCAATCGAGACCTGTCAGTGCCATTATAGAGGATCTTCGATTATCTGTACATAGTTCCAAGGCCAAAAATGTTGAAATCCTCCATTTAGCAGCACAAATATGTAGACAATTGAATGGTGAGTTAAAGTCTTCATACTTTTCATAAGCGTTGATAATTTTAGCTTCGCTAAAACTTTGTATAATATTCCGCAGCTTTCTAGAACTTTTTACAGATTTCTAAAACTTTCTGAAGCGTTCTTAAAGTTTCTAAAAATTGCTGGAGCTTTGTACAAATTCTTGAGTTTTAGTACGGGTCTGTAACTATGGAACTTTTTATTTTTAAACAGTTTTTGGAAGTTTCTAGAGCGTTCTGGAATTTTCGAGAATATTTTAGAGCTTTCTAGGGCTTTTCAGAGTTTCTTGAAATTTATAGAAATATCTAAAAGTTTTTAGACATCAATCTCTAGTGATGACCATCTTTTAAGGTCTTATGTTTTCTTTATTACTTTACAGAATATTGTGTATCATATAAAATCTTCTAGGGATTTCGAAAACATTTCTAGAAATTTCCTAAACTATCCAAATTTTGGCTTTTTTTGAAAATTTTTACAATTTTCTAGTCCCTTCGAAGCATTCTTAAACTTTCTAAAAGATTAAGAGCTTTCTAAAATTTTCTGGCGATTTTTAAAACTGTATACAAGCTACTAGAAATTTCGACAGCTTTATAAAACTTTTTATAATTTGTTCAGAATTTTCTCGAATGGTCTTGAAATTTTAGGAACATTTTCGAGTTTACTACAACGTTCTGCTGGTTTTTACAACGTTATTAAACTTTCCAGAACGTTTTAGTTCTTTTTTGCAACTTTCTGGAGGTTTCTGAAAACTTTCAGTGCTATGGAAGACCTTCTAGAGAGTCAATTCTTGGTGACGACCATCGTTTAGCTAAGTATTATTTTCTTTACTTCTTTCTAAAAGGTATTAAAAGCATTTAAAATTCGAAAAAAAATTGTAGAATTTTCATAAAATTAATAAAGCTTTTTTAAGCTTTCTATATCTTGTTGGCTATGTTTATAACTGCCTGTGATTTTCTACAACCTTAAAGAGGTTTGTATAAATTTCTCTACAAAGTTCTAGTGCTCTTCTGTTGCAGTAAATTCGTATAAAGCTTTTTAAAGTTTTCTACAAATTTTTAGAGAGTTAAACTTTTGTGAGATCCAGTTCTTACTGAGTTATCTCAGCTTTGCGTCTTTCTGTTAAAAGAATTAAGTCATTTTTTAAAACATTTTGTGGCGTTTGTCAACTGTTTACAATGTTTTAATGGTTTCTGGAACTGTGTAATAAAGTATTCATAAATTATTTAAAAGTTTCTAAAGCTTCCTACATATTTTTAGAAGTTACTTGAATGTTTTAGAAGTGTATAAATTTTTCATAAGAAATGTGAACAGGATATCAGTGATGAACAATTTGGCTTCCGAAATGGATTTGGGACACGGGAAGCATTAACCAGTTTTATTATACTGCTGCAAAAATGTCGAAACCAAAAAAGGATCTCTTTTTATGTTTTATTGACTATCAAAAGGCCTTCGACAAAGTAAAACATGATAAGCTGATGGATTGCCTTCACAAAAAGGGACTAGACGAGAACGATTTTAAAATTATCCAAACGCTGTATTTTAACCAAACTGCAGCAGTTAGAACAGAAGCCGGTGACACAGAAATATTCAATATCAAGCGAGGTGTACGACAGGGGTGTGTATTGTCACCACTACTTTTCAATATATATTCGGAAGAAATCTTTGCACGAGCACTAGAGCAATCAAGAGAAGGTGTTAAAATTAACGGCAGAGTTCTAAATAATGTACGATACGCCGACGACACGGTCCTAATTGCAGAGAGCGCACAGGATCTCCAGACACTCTTAGATCGCGTCAGATCGATCGGAGAACAATACGGCCTCAGCATTAACGTCAAGAAAACAAAAACAATTATTGTCTCCAAAACATCCATCCATGGCTTTAAACGTGAATGGTAACATTATCGAAAATGTCGAGAAATTTCGATATCTAGGGTGCTGGATAACGAAAGATATAGATCCAGACATAGAAATAAAATCGCGAATTGAACAAGCAAGAAATGTCTTTTTTAAAATGAAACAAATGTTTACGTCCCAAACACTCAATCTTAAAATCCGATACCGAATGCTGAAATGTTACGTTTACAGCACCTTATTATATGGAATGGAGGCCTGGACCTTTAAAATCAACTCACTAAGACGTTTGGAAAGTTTTGAAATGTGGTTATTTCGAAGGATGCTGAAAGTCCCCTGGACAGCGCATATGAGCAACGAACAGGTCCTACACAAGATGGGTACCGACAGAGAACTCTTAAAAATAATGAAAACACGGAAAACCTCATATTTGGGACACATATACAGAAATGAGAAATACCAGCTACTGCAGCTTCTTATAGAGGGGAAGGTAGAAGGAAAACGTGGTCCTGGTAGACGGCAGGCGTCCTGGTTGAAGAACATTCGTGAGTGGACTGGTTTGGATTCTCAATCTTTAATAAGAAAAGCCAGGGACAGAAATGATTTTGCTGAGGTTATCGCCAACCTTCATTGAAGACGGCACCCAAAGAAGAAGAATAAATTTTTAGGGATTTAAACATTTGTGGCAACCAACTTTTATTGATTTATCATGTCTTTATTTCTTTCAGAACTTTCTAGGACTGTCTAGAAGTTTCCAGGGGATTTTTAAACTTTTTAAAACTGTTAATTGTTTAGCCCTTTTTGGAACTGTCTACAGCCTACCAGAAATTTACAAAACCTTCTGGAACTGTTTCAAAAGGTGCAAATGAAAGGTTTTTTGAGACTTTCAGAACTGTCTATAACAGTATAGAAGGTCAAACTGTTGTCTGTATTTCTTTCAAAACTTCCTGGTGTTGCCTAGAACTTTTTAGGGTATTTTTAACCTTTCGAAAACTTTTTAGAATATTTTACATTTTTTAGCGATTTCTAGAACTGTCTATACCCCAATAGAAATTTAGAAAACCTTATAGAACCTTTTACATCATTCGACTGGACCGTTTATTGATATTTTAATACTTTATATAGCTTTCTACAACTTTCTAGAGGTTCTTTGAAACTTTTAAAGCAGTCTATAACATTCTAGTGTGTCAAACTGTTGTGACGTTCAGTTTTTATTGAGATATCACCTCTTTATTCCATTGTAGAACTTTCGAAATCCGATTACTTCTACTTTATCGTGTCCGGACATGTCAAAAAACCGACTAAAACTTTCTAGCGATGTTTTAAAGTTTTCTAAAGAGTTTTAAACCTTTTTAGAACTATTTACAATTTTTTAGCATTTTCTGGAACTTTTCATAAGTAAGAAATTAAGAGAAACTTCTAGATGTGTCTATAACTTTCTAGAGGTGTCTACAACTTTGGTCCCTGGAAACTTTCAGAAATGTCTCTAAATTTCTAGAGAGTCAAACCTTTGTGACAACCCTCTTTGATTGACTTTGATTCTTTTTAAAACTCTCTAGAATTGCCCAGAACTTTCTAATATGGTATTTTAAAACTTTCTATAAGTATTTAGATTTTTTTGCGTTTTTTAACGGTGTCTGGAACTGTCTATAACCTACTAGAAATTTAAAAAACCTATTAGAACTGTCTACAACATTCGGCTGGAGCGTTTATCAATTATTTAATACTTTGTAGAGTTTTCTACAACTTTCTAGGGGTTCCTTCAAACTTCTAGAACTGTCTATAACATTCTAGAGCATCAAACTGTTATGACGACCATATTTTATTGAGTTGTCACCTCTTTATTTGATTCTAAAACTTTCGAAAACCGACTAGAACGGTTTGGTGATTTTTTAAAAATGTTTTAACAGTTTCTAGAACTTACTAGAAGTTTAGAAAATTGTCTAGATCTGTATATAACTTTCTAGAACTGAAATTTTCTAAAGCCACCTACAACTTTGGTTCATAGAAACTTTCAATACTGACTATAAATTTGTGACGACCCCTTTTTTATTGAATTTTATTTTGTTATTATTACAGGAATAATAATTTTTTACTTTTAGAGCTGTTCTAATAACATTTAAGACTTAGAAAGGATCCATATATTGTGAAATGTGTTGTATTTATCATCTTTATGTTTAGGTTTAAGATTTACGAGTTGTAAAAGTGCCAAAGACAGAACGGGAATGTCCGTGACATTCGAAGAATGTCAGATCTTAGCAGATGAATACCATTTAGCAGAACACGAATTCCAACGAGTATTAGATTGTTTAAGAAGGTAAATTTTTATTTTATTTATTTATTGTCGTTCGGTACAGTGTATTTGCCTTTATCTTGCCAATTATGGATTATCTTTGAATAGTTGTTAACTTGTATGGGCTATCTTATTTCTTAATGATAATGTATATATCTTATGTCGCTGGGGCAGATACTGGGGCCTACAATTGGCTGCCTGTGCCGTATTTCGTACTTGCAATTTAAGACAAGAACAATATTATTGAGTGTACACGATTTACTTGTGTGATTAAACATATTTATTTTTTGTTGTAGTGAGGGTTGCCGTAGGGAAAACGCTCTGAAGAATATCGGAATAAAAAAATATGCTTTCAATTCTATCCAGCTCCTGGCATATCCAAAATTCTACAGACCTCCTCCAGGAACGTACGGATCTGCACTAACTTAAGGCACTCGAGTGTCGTAGATAAAAGACACGCTATTCAATGTTATTCATATACATTTTTGTAGTTTATCGGGATATTTCGGACGAAGATGTTTTAGTTTTTTAACTGTTGATTTTATTTAGAACTAACGACAAAAATGCAGTAGATTATGAGATTTTAACCTTTAAATGAAGATGGCAATAAATTGTAAGAACTTTCTTTATATTGGTTCATTAAACTTTTCAGCGCCTTATTTTCCACAATTTTCTGAAATATTTATAGACATCTTTCAAATTTTTAGAGAATTCTACTAATTTTTACATGTTCTTTGAACTGTATAAGTTTCTACATTTTTAGAAAATATTCTAGTACTATCTATAATATACTAGAAGTTTCGACAATGTTCTAGAGCTGGCTATATCTGTCTACAACCTTCGAAAGCTTTCTAAAAATTTTTTGATCTGTCCAAATCATTTTGACTATTTGTAGAAGCGTCTGCATTTTTCTAAAAGTTTCTATAGCCTTTTACATTTTTTTGTGTCAGTTTTGGATAACTTTTTGCAGTTTTCGAAATCTTTCTAAAACTGTTTAGAACTTTCTAGAAAATTGTAAAATGTTTCAGAAATGTCTACAATATACACACATTTCTACAATATTTATAGACTTCCTAAAAGTTTTTAGAGAATCCTACTCCTTTTTGCCTGTTTCTTGAACTGTCTAAAAGTTTCTACGATTTTCGAAAGTTTTAAAATTGAATCAAAACTTCCTTAACCTCTTCCAAAAGTTTCTGCTGCTTTTTAAAAGTCTCTTAGCAGTTTTTGGCAACTCTCTGTAATTTTCGAAATCTTTCATAAACTTTTTACCTTTCTAGAAATATGTACAATGTTAGGGGAATGTCTAGAATTATCCAAGACTTTCCAGAATGTTTGTAGATCTCCTAAAAGTTTTTAGATGATCCTACTACTTTCTACCTATTTTTTGAACTGCCTACTATTTTCGAAAGTATTCTAATACTTACTAGAAGTTTTTTACAATGTTCTAGAGCTGGCTATAACTGTCCACAACTTTCAAGAGCGTTCTTAAAATTTTAATTTTTTTTTAAATTCTCCACCACATTCTGACTGTTTCTAGAACCGTCTGCAATTGTCTAGAATACTCCTCAGATTCCTAAATGTTTCGGTTGCTCTTTACAATTTTCCTTGTTGCAGTTTTGGGTAATTTTCTGTAATTTTCGAGATCTTTCTAAAACGATTTAAAGTTTATAAAGAAATCTCGAGAATTATCTAAAACTTTCCAGAATATTCATAGACTTCCTCGAAGATTTTGGAAACTCCTGATACGATTTCCTGTTACTTGAACTGCCAGCAAGTTTCTACAGTTTTTGAATGCTGCAGTACTATCTATAACTTATCAGAAGTTTCTACAATGGTCTAGAGCTGGATATAACTGTCTACAACTTTCGACAGCATTCTAAAATGATCTAAAAATTTTTAGAACTGTCCACAACATTTTGATATGAAGAAAATGGTCTAAATATCAGCAACGGCATGATATAATGCTTTAAATTAGAGCTTTGTCGTGATACATATATCAAATGGTAGGGTAGCTGTGAGATAATCCTTTGGATGATAAAATTGCCGTGGGATAATGCTCCGAATGGCAATACTGCCATAATGTAAGGCTTCGAATGCAGGGTTGTCATAAGATAGTATTTTAAATATCAGTTTCGAATGATATATCGTTTTAAATGACATGATTGCCTTGATAAATGCTTCAAATGATACAATAGCAATGAAGTAATGTTTCGAATAAAAATATTGCCGTAAGATAATGCTCCGAATATCAAGAAGATTCTGAAATAATGCTTCAAATAGAAACTAAGCAATAGTTAACGCTCTAAAATACAGAATTGTAGTTATATAATGCTTCGAATGCAGTATAGTATTCAGGTAATAATTCAAATCCTTGATATAAAGCTGAACTTAATAGCATTGCCGTGATAAATGTGTCAGATTTTAGGATAGCCTTGAAATAATGCTTAGAAGGACAAGATACTCTTAGGATAATACTTTGAATTGGAATATTGATACGACTTTAATGCTTCTCTAATGAGGGCAAGGTCGTCAGGATCTACAAATTGCAGAATCTACATGATATAATGCCTTAAATGACATTTCATTGTGATAAATCTTCCGAATGGTAAAATAGCTATGAAATAATGCTTTAAATGACAATATTGCATTGAGATAATGCATGGAAAAGCAAAACTGTTCTGAAATAATCCTTCGAGTGACAGTATAGTATTGGGATATCAGTTCAGATAATATAGTTGTTAGATAATGCTTCGGTTGACGTCATAAAATGCTTTAAATAAGAGGAGTGCGGTAATAAATGCTTACCAAGATACTGTTTAGATTGGCAAGTTTGCAGAAGAAAGAAGGAAAGAAAGTAAGACTTATATTCAAAGTTGTCGTGAGATAATGCTTGAAATGTCAAGTTCGACATGATTTAAAGTTTTTAATGGCATTATTCAATTGATAAATTCTTCGATCCGTAAAATAGTAAATAAATAAGCCCTCAAGTGGCGATATTTCCGTGATAAATGCTTAGAATGATGAGATAATCCTTCAAATGACTTATATGCCGTGATATAATGCTTGGAATGCAGGATCGTCAGGACATAATTTTTCAATTGGCAGGATCTAGTAGCTTATCAAGAAATAAAGCTCGTCTTAATGGGATGAGTTCGTATGAGGAATGTAAAAATGGATAAGAAGTTTGCAAACTTGCAGAACTACAAATTTGGGCACAAAAACGAACAGAAAATTAAAAAAAAATTTACGATAAATGAAGTTGTAGCAGGTTATTGTTAAATAATAAATGTCAAAGATTTTCAATTTTCAAGAAAAGAAAAGAAATAGTCAACAAAAACTCATAATATCTTAAAAAACTACTTAAATAAATAATAATTTAGTAGTTCTCAGTCTATTGCATTTTTGTTAATCAAAATAACTTAATTTTATTTTAACAAACAAATTAATATCTTTAAAAACCTTTTGATATTATATTCTAAGACGTTTTTATATATTGTTGTTGTATATTCTTCTTATTTTAGAAGTGTATCTGTATATTTTGTACGTTTTTTGATGGAGTATGATAAATTTCAATTATTAAGTACCATTAATTGTTAAAAAGATTGAAGTTCTAGAGCGTAACATCATTGGTTCTTAAAGGGGAACAAAAACGCCAATGTACGTTGGTATTGGAATTCATAAGAAGCACTATTAGTCATTTTTGGCACTAAAAATGCTTTTTAGGAAAACCTAACCAAACAAATGTTCAAAATCCACTCTGAGGTACGAGGGAAAAATGAAAAGTTTTCAGACTAGTTCATAGATGGCACTTTTTTATGCGCGGGTGAGCAATCTTCCTAAGACACCGTCTGGCACGTGCCGAATGATAGTGTGGGAGTTCTATACACTAAAATCTCATCATCATCTGCTCTATTACGTTAACTTTATTAATTTACCACTACACATTGTCGTTGCTTGCGTATGACCTCTCTTTTTCTTCATCACTCTTCCAACCCCAGCAACTAATCAAGATGGCGCTGTTACTATAAAGTCACTGGTTGTTTCGTATATGTGAAGTATTTTCAACGAAGAATACACAGATTTTTTTGATTACATTGAACAGATGTTAAAAGAAAGTGTTTAGAGCTCACAGTTCATGTTTATTTCACCGTTCACAGACGACATTTGCAGCGCTGTCAATAAGTATAATATGTCTTGGACATTACCTATATAAAGATATCATAATTTTGAGGTTAGCGACACAAGTGGTTTTTTTTTCGATTATCTCAGGAATCAATCGCTTGCAAAATTGGATACGTTCAAATTGATTCAATAACTGATGGCTTTTATTTGACATTATAAGTCAGTATAGTATAATTATTCTCGTCCAAAACATTGTTACAACTTGTTGCGTTGTGATCATCAACAAACGGGAAATCCACTTCCTCGACAATTTTTGCACCATTTTAAGGAGAATTCTATGGCTTTTTTACTCTAAGTTTTTCGATAGGTGAAATCTTATCACTTGCATCAAAATGACTTTTCCTGCAGAGGGTAGTAGAGGGTGGCTAATTGTATAAACTGAATATATTATAGTGAGTGTTGTGATTTTAAAGGCATTATTTGAATCACAAGTCTTTAAGGTGGACAAGCACTTAATAAAAAAGACTATACATATCTTCTTCGTCAGCTAGATGACACAATTCGACATAAAACAAATTGATATGTAAAAGGAAACCTACTCTTTTGTCAGAAAATTAGCTCGAATAGGAGGGAAAGTGCCAAATGCATTCAGATGATTCTTAATCATTTTCTACATTTTTAACACAAATGGGTGCTGCAACAATACTATTTTTTTATCTCTAGACTGAAAATTTTTCATCTTGACCCTGTAAACATTGTGTTATCACTGATGATTGTTTTTATATAACTGCAAAAGCTTTACAACGATGTCTATTTAATAATATATACTTCCCTAATTCAGTATTAGTTGTTGTAATATATCTTTATTCTTTTAACTATTTAATTCTTCCAATGGGCGCATTTTTACAGTTTATTTGACAATATTAACGAATGTTTTTGTTGTATAACACGTTTTAATTGAGTTTTTTGGAGACTTTTAATTGTTCGAACGCTAATCAAAACTTGATTGTAATCAAATACTTAATTAAAACCAAATACGTCACATTTTGAGGTTATGTTGACTAATTTATTTTATTTAATTTTATTATTTTGCTTTTTAATTTAAAATGAACTATAATTAAACCGTTTCTGATGTTAATTTTATGTTTTTATTCATAAATCAATAATAATCAGCAATTTTTAATAATTTTGACAGCTGCTGTGACGTATTTGGTTGTAATTAAATATTTGATTGCAATTAAGTTTTGATTAGCGTTCGAACAATCGACCCTTAGTACGAGTAAACTGTGATTGGACTTAAGATTGATATTAAGGCGCATAACCATGATCCGATTGAATCATACCAAAATTATTAACCATCCAGGCAACTTATTTCGAGGAACCTGTCGCCAAATATTAAAATTTTTTTTGTGATTCGCTACTACTGATCCAAATTATCACACAGACCCGCTACATTAGTCAACAATTTAATTGTTGAATTGAAAACGTGATGATAATTTGACGACATTGTCCTACATTAAAATTGCTAACATCACTTGCAACTTGTTTTGTGGAATCCCTACCAAAATATTTGTCTCTGAAGTACCTTTAATACTTCAGCTCTATAGATTTTGATACTAAATGTCAATTTTTTTGGGAATCCATAAATCTACGTTGCACATCTGTTCAAATGATTGAAAAATATGTTTCTCAGTTCGTTACATGTGGATCATAAATTGTGAATCAAAAATATTCGAATTACCGGTCCAGGTCATAACAGATTTGTCCATCTCTAATATGAATATTGATGTTATTGGTATTAGAGATGGACAAATCTGTTCGGATATGGATCAATGATCCGCTTTCGAAAAAAAATTAATGGTTGTTCAATAAATACTGAAGTACAATGATCGTTGTTGTTGTTGTTTTGGATTCGTTATCCAAATTTTCCCGATAAGTTTCTCATGTATCACTGTATTGCTTCTTTCATCGTCTCATCATTTGGAAACTGGTTCCATTCATGCTTCAACTATAGAAACATCATCAGTATGGTCCATGGGTGATTTGGGGACGATAATGCCTTGTTATTTTTTCATCTTGGAGTTTCAACATAGTTTAGGCTGACTGCTGTTTATATAAGCATAGATGCGATACATATGTCCTGGAGGGATTCGCGTGTCGCCTGAGCACATTGTTATTTGGTGATTGGAAAATTTTGTCACTCCACCTTGAGGTATCACAGTTGAAAATGGTATCAATTACACCGAATTGCCAATCATCGATGTCTTAGTTACTGCGCGCTTCATTAATGCAATATTTTCATCCAAACAAAATGCGTCTATTTATTATGAACGCTATACATCCATTTTTGAACTCGTTACACCAAACGCAAAACGAAGAAAAGATGAACTTTTCAACTTTTCTCCGTGTTTTAAGACCAAATTGTTTTTATTGTTTAAGTATGTAAAAATGCGTCGCATTCCTATCGACTAATATAACCTCTTCAAGACTTTTCACGTGCCATTTTAATATAACTTTTAGTATTAAGAGGCCATTTTATAAAATATTTTCTATTATAGGAATATTAGTGTTGTTTAGCTAGTGACACAAATTATTTCACTCGGCTCTGCGCAGGTTTAACTCTACACCTTTTTCCTTGGCTTATCTTCGAATAGTAAGTTTTTAATAATTTGAAAAGAGGGCATCAACAACGTGTTAAGTGTCTTAAAAATTGAGTACATCGGCTTTACACTATTAAATATAAAGATGCATAATTGCCACGAATACGATCTTAATTCATAAAAGGACCGATAGATGGCCTGAAAGGTATATGCCGAGTCACTGATCGGACTTCAAGGGATTTAGTATAAAAAAGAGACAAAAATAAAATGTATTTGATTTAACAAACTTTCTATATTGGTCCTTCGAGCCGGATAAAATTGTTAATATACAGTTAAATTAAAAAAAAACATTTGGTTTAGTGGCACTAAAAGACACCTTTTTTAGAGCATTTATGTATATCTCAATAAAACATTTTTATTGTTTTTAAACTCGAGAAAATGTAATTCAAACGCATTTTTGAAACTTAGCTCGTTATTGATGCCCATTTTAGAAATTTGTCCGAAATACCCTTTTATGTACTTACTTACTGTTAGAAAAAAGTATCTAGTTGCATATAAGCATTAAAAATTATTTTATTTATACTATTTATTTATGTATTTTATGTTCTCTTATTTTTATAGAAATCTTGGACAATCTGTTAAACATGTTAATTCCAAAAATAAAATATTATTTACTTATGGTAGTTTTTATTATAAACAGTCACAATCAGAGGGATTATCTCATGGACGAAAAGTGAGAACTGTAACAACATGAAGTTGTGCATCTTTCAGAAATATTAAAGTTCTTCTTCTTTATAAGCAATTCTGCTTGTTCATTAGCGGAACGACCACATCGAGCATCATAGACGGAAGATAGTTCTTGATAACTGGTCCTCATAAGACATTTAACTCTCACTTATGCTCCAAATGTCACACCCCGGACAACTGCATTGGTCTTTGGGCTAAATTAAGTGAGGGTAGCCAGATATGGCGAAAATTTGACCGATCTATTACGGGTATAAGCAATCCCACACTTGCTAATCAACGGCTTTGAGCTGAAGAAGTGGTAGGGCACCATTTTTGTACTGAAGTTGAGAAATCGGCCTCGAAGGTGGAAGAACCAATATCTTGGTCAACGGCATAAGGATGTAGAAGGCAAGGGGAAACCACTACATGAAAGATCCCAATGGATATCCCCAGTACAATCATCATAGTTTTAGAAACTAATAACGGCGTTACTGATCATGGCCTTCGGAAGCCAATATCCGACAGGGGAGAGGAGGGCAAGGACTCTCATGTCGTTAATCAGCAAATTCATTGTCAAAAGAACGTAGATGATAAAATAAGACTGTCCAACACTATAATGAACCTGGAATGTTCAGAGCATGTTTCAGTCTGGTAAAATGCACAATGTTATTCAAAAAAAGAACAGGTTGAATATTGATGTATTGGGCATCAGTGAAGCCAGGTGACACAACTCAGGTTGTTTTTCAACAGACGAAGACACAATATATTATTTCGGTAGCGAGAATAACCAACACAGACACGACGTGGCAGTAATAGTTAATAAAAATCTAATAGAGCGGTGGAATTCTATTTCCCTATCTCAGAAAGGGTAATTGGTACTGAAGTTGGTGACATCTCATGCCAAAATGAATTTGATAAA